AATATTTTTTATTTTAAATGTTTTGAGAAAATAAATAAATAAATCAAAAGTTAAATTTAAAAATTAAATAAAATAATTACATTTTATATGTATAATTTATAAAAATTTTCTGGAAAAAGAATATTAGGTATATAATTTGTAATTGAAAAATTAAAAAAAAAAATTTTAATAATCAGCAAAAAAATTTTGCAGACGTCCGCAAATATTTGCGGACAAAATAATTTTTCGAGAACAGAACGAGTAAATGGAGGATAATGATTTCTATTAGGGTTGTTGGCACCTGTTATTAACCAATAGCCTAAGTTTTTGGTTATGGCATGTTTTGGACACGCAGTTTCGATTTCGGTTCAGTTAATCTCCCCCACCAATTAAAATTTTTATATTTATTTTTATTTAAAGTCACGCAACTTTAACGAGTTTCCAATAATAAAACAACAATTTTATAGCATTAAAAAACTTTATAATTACAATTTTGGTTCAAAGTTGGCTGTGGGTTTCATAAAAAAAATTTTTTTAATAATTAAATTTAATTAAATTTTGGAAGCTAAATAGTGAGATCGGTATGGATCTGGATCCAGTTTTGATTTTTCCTTGATCCGGAGTCCAGATCAAGGCATTTTTTGATCGTCCTAGATTTTTCCTGAATCCAGAGTCTAGCTCCAGGCATTTCTTGATCGTCCTGGATTTTTCCTGGATCCAGATCAAAAATCCTGTCCAGATTACTTACCTAGATCCAGAAGCAGAATCCAGATCCAGAGGAATTTTGGAACACCCTTACTTCAAAAAAACTTAAATAATTCAAGGGCTATAAATTAAAAAAATCCCTTTCAGTATCAGATATTGTTTATACCTCGGCCCTATATGATTATCAAAAAAATTTTTTAGAAAAATTGATTGGGGCATGAAATATTGAGAAAAATAGGGGTGCGGTTATAATTTTGGAACAGAGTGTAGGGGACAAAAAATAAAAGAAAAATTATCAAAAAAATGTTTCTAATAAATAATCCAAAAAAATAATTTTTTGGATTATTTACTTAAATATTTCCCCCTTATTTTTTAACTAAAACAGCAGGCATTAAAAATAAAAGTTTTATTTAAAAGTTTTATATGTTGATATTGGCTGTTGTTATTGGTTGCCATTTATAAAAAAGAGAAAGAAAAATAAATGAGTGACAGCTGGAAATTTGAATTTTATATTATATAATTATTTTTATAATGTAAATAAAAATATTTATTTGGATTAGTTTGGGGGAGAAGAAAAAAAGGAGAGAAAAAAAGAGATTATTTAAATAATTTTTTAAAATTAATAGTACTAAAGGGAGTTTTGATAAGTTTAGATGATAGAAAGAATTATTATGATATTATTAATTGCGAGAATAATAGGGTAATCATTTAATTATGCCTTGATTTAATCTAAATGTTAAATTAAATCATCAAGATTTATGAGGTAAACTCGAAACAAAGCAAAAAATTATAAAGTTAGTTACCCATAAAATAATGGCCTGTGTTGGATAAAACAATAATTTGTCCATTGTTTTGGTTGTTTGGTTAACCTTAGTTTTGATTTAGACTAAGCTTGCGAGTGTAGACTAAAGTTCGTGAGGCATTAGTAAAGACCAAACGAGATTTTATTTCTAATAGTGATTCTCTTTTATTAAAAAAGGTATGGGTCTCCATCAGGGCTGGGCGAAATCTAAAAATAAAAAGCAAAATGTGAAACTTTTCGCGCCAAAAAAATGCGAGAATGCGAAAGATGCGAAACGCGAAAGTGCGAAATAAGCCCAGCCCTGGTCCCCATATTTTTAATTTTAATTGGTTGTGTTGCTTCAAAAGTCTGCAAGTTTTATCCGCAAATATTTAATGCCGTTTATGGAGATGACATAAAATGATCACTACAATAGTGATCATATTTCCATAATTTTTTTAATAAAAACCACAATAATCTTTATCCCCATAGAAGATTAGACATAGAAAATACCTCAATCTTGTTGCAATTTCAAGGAACACAAATGAAAAAAAATCAAGAGTTTTTTTGAATTATTGGAGTAAATAAAATTAAAAAAGAGAGAAAACTAAATAAATAATCTTTCATTTTTCAAAAATATTTAAAAAAATTTAAACAAACAACTGTTCATTAATTAATTTAATGGATGGACTATTTTTTCATATTATTAATGGGGCAATAAAGATTTATTAATCTCTTCTTGCGTGCCTAGAAGGGAAGAAAATAAAAGTGCTCGTGATAATAAAAGTGTGTTTGATTTTTTTTTAAATTGGTTGGGGGGATTTTTGAAAGTTTTTTTAATTTAAAAAAAATAAATGAGTTTTTCTAGAATGTTTTTGATTAAAAATATTTTTATGTAAATTAATTTTTTTTTATATTTTATTTTTAAAATAAAAAAAAAATGGAATAAATAATTTTTGAATTTTTTTAAAAATAGAGAATGATGTCTTTCTAATTTATAAAAAATTTTTAAATACAAATTGAACTTCATTATAAATACACACAATACTAGTTATGTACCAGGGATGAGGCTTGTTGTATTTTAAGAAGCGGAAGACAGCCCCGCTAGATAAACCTTTATATGGAAGGGTATTTTAGGCCTGTTTAAGCTAGTGTTCGGCAAATGGATTTTTTCGGGAACGGAAGTACCTGAAAGTACCGGTTATTAAATTTAGTTTTTCATGTTTTGAAATAGCGAGAATTGAAAATTTAATTTTCAGGCAAAATTTCTAAATTGGTTGTTGGAATGACGAAATTAATTAATCCCTCCAGTGAAATTTCGACCCCCCCCCCCCAATTATAACCCCCACCCTCTCGACCAACATCTACTCGAATGGTTAATCTAGTGCCCTACCGCACGCTAATATTTACAAAATTCGAATAATTGTTCTCCCTCAGGGTCGAAAAAATAAGTATTGTTGTTATAATTTTTTTAAGTATAATTTTTTTCACAAGACTGGTATTTTCTTTTTTACAAGTTTTAATAAAAAAATTGTTTTTAAAAATCATTTTAAAAACAAAACAATAAAGCAATATTTCGTGTAAAATTTAATTTTTTCGAAAATAAAGTTAAAAAGAAATGGGTAAACACAAAAATTGGAAAAATAAAAAAAAAAATTTTTTTTTACTCTTGGAGGTTTGGAATGACGGCATTAAAAAGTAGATAATACACGCAAAAATAATTATTAACCTTTTTTCTATTTAATTCTCCAATGTTTGCTAACCTTTTTTAAAAAAGAATATTTTTTTCTATTAAAATTTAAAAGGAAAATGATAGGGGGAAAATATAGAAAATTATTAAATATTTTTTAAATAGACGGGAATTTTGTGTTTTGAATAGAGGAAAAACAGGAAAAAAATTTTTAGGAAAAAATTTGCAGAAAATTTTGGAAATTTTATACAAGAGATATGGTTTGATATTTAGTAGGTACCAGAGATTAGAAAAGATTTTGTATAGGAGAGAATTATAGGTAAAAAATTTAAAAAATACGAGCATAGAATTTAGCTAAAAGTCATTAAATCTTTTTTAAGCACTTCCTTTTAAAATAAGTCTTGTTTAAAAATAAGTCTAATCCAATTAAAAAATAAGTCTAACCAATTTTAAAATAAGTCTAATCCAACCTCAGAAAATACCATATCTTAGACCAGACTTTTGTCAGATAACTAGAAGAAAATAAAGTGAAAATTTACTAAAATCATATAATTGGGAGAAATTAATTAAAGAAATTTTTAAAATTTAAAAATTAAAAAAATCTCCCAAAAAAATTAATTGGGAAAATAGAAACATCTTTTAAGAAAAAAATTAGGGTTTGACAAAAGGATTTAATTTCGAGTTGGGCATTGAAAAAAATAGGTCTTGAAAAAAGCTACGAAAAAATAGATAAGATTTAGGGCAACTGAAGCAACCCGGTTATAAAAAATTATATTTTTAGAATTAGATAATAAACTTTAAAAAAAGCAAAAAGAGCATTCAAAAAATATACCTAATTATTTCTACATAAATAAATTACTAATTAAAATAATACTAAGGCAAAAATAAGAAAAAAAGAGGCTTTAATATAGCCTTTGGTTTAATAAAGCTTTTTATTTTGTTTTTATATTCCGGTGCCCTTTCCTTTTAAAAATATAAATAATTTTATTTTTCTGTTGTTTTTTACTATAATTGAGTTTTGTTTATTTATTTTATGGTAGGGGAAATAATTTAATTTTAAAATAAATAAAATTATTAGTTTTACATGGTAAAAATTGAAAATGTGTAAAAAATTTAATCGAATAAATTTTGATTTTAAAAAATCGAAAAGTTCCATTTCATTTTATGACGAAATAATTCTAGAAAATTTTTAATTCGATCGGCACAGTCATTAAAGTTTTTGCAAATTTTAGCGTCAAAGCGGTTTTTGAAATTCTCAGCATGATCATCCAAGCCATCAGCAAAACCAACATCTCCATTCAATGCTAAGGCTATCTATAATTTAAAGAAAATTTAAAAAATGGGGACAGACAACAAAACCTTGGAAATAACTACTGCTCTCAATCTGACCAAATCCCCACTAGATAACGAAGAAGGCTGGCCCAAAAAAACATCTCGCTCACGTAACCGCCCAAAATAGCCATCATTAAGTTTTCTTTTTCAGTATCCGTCCAGACCTGCTTAGTACCTAAGTTATCTTCGGAAAACAAAACTAGCAAAGTTACAAAACGCCGAAATTCGAAAAACTTTAGACTTCAACTTGATAAGTTCCATTTTGATGTTAAGTTTACAGAAGAACAAAAATTAGCCGCTACTAAAGAAAATGCATTCCAAAATGAATTACTCTTGGAGTGCTTCGGAGAAAAAAGTCAAATGAGCGGTCCATTGTGTCAAAAGGAAAAGAACAGGCTGGCACTCCATAAAAGCGGACATTGTTACGTCGCTTTTCGTTAGATTTGATGTGACAAAGGTAAATTTTAAATCTTTATTTTTTCTAACCTCCAAATTAAAGTGACTTTGAAAGAAGAGGAAACTTTACTTGGCTCAACTTTGGTACTAAGCAGGTCTGGACGGATACTGAAAAAGAAAACTTAATGATGGCTATTTTGGGCGGTTACGTGAGCGAGATGTTTTTTTGGGCCAGCCTTCTTCGTTATCTAGTGGGGATTTGGTCAGATTGAGAGCAGTAGTTATTTCCAAGGTTTTGTTGTCTGTCCCCATTTTTTTAATTTTCTTTAAATTATAGATAGCCTTAGCATTGAATGGAGATGTTGGTTTTGCTGATGGCTTGGATGATCATGCTGAGAATTTCAAAAACCGCTTTGACGCTAAAATTTGCAAAAACGTTAATGACTGTGCCGATCGAATTAAAAATTTTCTAGAATTATTTCGTCATAAAATGAAATGAAACTTTCCGATTTTTTTAAATCAAAATTTATTCGATTAAATTTTTTAGGTAAGAATTTTTGGTACAAAATTTAGACCCCATAAGGAAATAATTTTTAAGAACCCTTTTGGTGATTTGTAAAGGGACAACCAGAAATACACGAATAGAATAGTTTTTTCTATAATAAAATGACCCCTAAATCTGTCGTAAATAAATTACGATAACAAAAATTTTTGTCGAAAACTCAAATGATTATTTTAATTTTTTACTTTAAGAAATACTTTTAGAATGTTTTATATTTTTGTTTATAATTTGAGGAAGAGAAAATTGAAACTAAAAAAGAGGATAACGTTAAATATGTTCGGGAAATGAATGTTCGGCAATTAGATGAGAAGGAAGAATTGAAGAAAGAAGAAGAGGAGGAAGTGAAAGTAATAGAAGAGGAAGAATTAAATAATGGTGAGGAGGAAATGAAAGATGAGGAGGAAGAATTGAGAGAAGAAGAAGAATTTAAAGTATTTGAAGATGAAAAAGCTCAAAAAATATATCAAATTGGAGGCACTTTTCACGATCAAAACAAAAACAAAGTTTGTAAATAGTGGCCTAACATATTTCCCTCAGATTTGATAGTCACCTAAAAGCTATGGATAAGAAAAAGAAAAATTTTTAAATTACTTTTGTCACATCTGTTTCCACCAAATAAGCCACAAATATGTGGCCACGCTCATGGATTGCCAGCCTTTTTTTGTGTTTGCTGGACAATACCGAGTTTGGTGGCGCTTTCTCCTCATATTTACATTCAAGCAAAAATTCCTCTCCGAACATATTCTCGGGAGTAGCTGCTAACACGTCAATATCATTAAAATCTAACTCAAATTCAACTGAATCGTAGTCAAACATTTCCTTAAAAATAGATGGATTTGTTTAGTTTAAGGGGGCCAAGGTCAAAACTCGTATTGTATTGTATGCCATTCGATTCCGTTCAAAATGCCGAGGAGTATCGAAATTAATTCAGGAAAAGACTCGTATTGTAAAACATTGGCCGGTCTAACATTGGCTGGGTTTCTTGCTTGAGTGAGGTGTTTGTTTTTAATCAAAGTGTAATCTAGCTCAATGAGCAAAATTTTGTTCTCTAAGGATTTTCGACTTTAAGGGTTTTGTACATAATCTTGCTAGTTTCTTTTCCTGAATTAATTTCGATACTCCTCGGCATTTTGAACGGAATCGAATGGCATACAATACAATACGAGTTTTGACCTTGGCCCCCTTAAACTAAACAAATCCATCTATTTTTAAGGAAATGTTTGACTACGATTCAGTTGAATTTGAGTTAGATTTTAATGATATTGACGTGTTAGCAGCTACTCCCGAGAATATGTTCGGAGAGGAATTTTTGCTTGAATGTAAATATGAGGAGAAAGCGCCACCAAACTCGGTATTGTCCAGCAAACACAAAAAAAGGCTGGCAATCCATGAGCGTGGCCACATATTTGTGGCTTATTTGGTGGAAACAGATGTGACAAAAGTAATTTAAAAATTTTTCTTTTTCTTATCCATAGCTTTTAGGTGACTATCAAATCTGAGGGAAATATGTTAGGCCACTATTTACAAACTTTGTTTTTGTTTTGATCGTGAAAAGTGCCTCCAATTTGATATATTTTTTGAGCTTTTTCATCTTCAAATACTTTAAATTCTTCTTCTTCTCTCAATTCTTCCTCCTCATCTTTCATTTCCTCCTCACCATTATTTAATTCTTCCTCTTCTATTACTTTCACTTCCTCCTCTTCTTCTTTCTTCAATTCTTCCTTCTCATCTAATTGCCGAACATTCATTTCCCGAACATATTTAACGTTATCCTCTTTTTTAGTTTCAATTTTCTCTTCCTCAAATTATAAACAAAAATATAAAACATTCTAAAAGTATTTCTTAAAGTAAAAAATTAAAATAATCATTTGAGTTTTCGACAAAAATTTTTGTTATCGTAATTTATTTACGACAGATTTAGAGGTCATTTTATTATAGAAAAAACTATTCTATTCGTGTATTTCAGGGTGTCCCTTTACAAATCACTAAAAGGGTGCATGGCCTCTCAAAAAGAGGGGCAAAATCGGCCAAAAAGGAGGCAAAAAATGGGGTATTATTTTAAAGACATAAAAATAAACCAAATTTAAAATAAAACGCTAGCTTTAACTAAATTTCTTTGTTTTTTTGCGTCGCAGGTAAAAATTATGAGAATTTTGCAGGTAAAGAAGTCAGATTTCGGTAATACTTTGTCTGACTTGAACCATTTTTCACGTTCTACTTTTCTGACTATTTTTTTCCTTTTGCTTCCTATGCTCAACTTATTTTTATGAGGTAAGGCAATTCGAGATTTAAGGGGGCAAATGCACTCCAAAAGTGGCTTTTTCAGCGCCGCAGACGAAAATTTTGTGAATTTTGGAAGGCCAAGAAGCTAGATTTCTTCCGTTTCAGAAAAGATCAAAAAGGGGGTAATGAAAAAAAAAGGGGGGAAGAGGGCGAGAAGGCCAAAAAGGGGGCAAATGTCTCCCAAATGAGGTAAAAGGGACACCCTGATTGAAATATAAAATTTTTATTAATTAGATTAAATTAATTAAAAAAAAATTTTACACGTATCTAAAACATTTTTGATGATTTGAAGAAACTCTTGTTTTGAAAAGCACTGAATCTGCCCTGAACTGACTGAAAAGAAGTGGGTTGTAGCCATAAACTTTGATGAAAAATTGAATACATTTATGCCTTTCATCAAAATAATATAAATTATTTGACAGACTTTCTTTGCATGTTGGACACCTTCAAAAAAATTTTTTTTAGAATTTAAAACATTTTTTTTTAAAAATTTCCTCAAAAACCTTAAAGTCCATTTGCTTGTGGTCTTTATTGGAGGTTTTCTTGATAGGTGCGACACGAGAAAATTCATCGCCAAATCCTCACAGTTTGTCCATTCATCCACTTTATCACGAACAATCTGAGGCATATGATAAGTGTAGGCGTGTAGATAAAACTAAATTAAAAGGATATGTATTTGATAAAAGATTTCTTTAATTAATACAATGTGTAAGAATGCTGCTCCAGTCAAAATCATGTTAAACTAAAAATTAAAAAAAGTCATTTAGGATGTGAATTTGTTGTTATTTCGAATGAAATTTTTGAATTAAAATTTTGGGGTTCTCTCTTAATTTGCTCTCAACATTCACTTAAATTACAGGGTAATCCCTTCATAGAAAGCCTCACTACAGTTACTAAAAATCGATTTTTGGATCTTTACTTTGCTGAATGTTCAAAATGTACATCCTCTTATTGACGTCACCCCCCAACTTATAATTGCTTGGACCGGTTCCATCGGATATCCAAAAAAGTCCGATTATAAGAAAAAATAAATTTGATACCTGACAAGTATGATTGCTATCATAATTAATTGTATCGCCAAATCTTGCATGATAACGTGCAGGAAAACCAACAATTCTGTCCCTTTGTTCACGCCAAACTCTTGAAAAATAAACAAAAATTTTAATTTAAAAACTTTAAAAAACCTAAAAGCAAAAATAATTTCATATTGTTTCAAATCAAGGTCATCATCAATTGAAAGTATCGCTTCCGTTTCAATTTCCTTGTACGGGATAAATCGATTATTTAATGAATTTTTTGTTCCATTAATGAATAAAAGAGGTACACGCAATCTGAAAATTCAAAAAATTTTTTGAAAATTCTAAAAAATTTCTTTCAATTACCTAGGCCATGCAGACAGTGTTGGAAATCTCTTAAAATCATTCCATACAATAATAACTTTATTTAAGTAAGGCAATCCAATAAGGCGTTCTAATGTGTTCTGTAAAGTAGGATTTATACAAAAAAAATTTAAAATTTTAAAGGAGAGTAAAACTTACTGATAAAATTTGTTCACGATTGTATGTCGTTATTATTACTAAAAATAAATTAAATCATGTCTCATGTCAGAAACAATACAACTATATAAATTTTGGGGGGATTGTGGTCACATCCTTAAAAGAGGATGTGACCACAATAGGACGCAAAAAAAATTTTTAAAGCAACATAATTTTATTTTAAAATCCGCAAAATTTTTAAAATCCGCAAAAAAGGATAAAGAGGAAAAAATGAATTTAAAAAATATATCCATAGTAGCGGGTAAAAAAAATATTTTTTAAATTAAACCAAAATGAATTTTTTGCCTAAAATATTTTTCAAAAAAATTTACTTGTAAAATGTTCTCTCCTTCTATTACCACCAATTGCTTTTGAAAATTCAACCCCAGAACCAGGTAATATTGGACGCATTCCAAAACTAACATCTTCATTAAATTCTGAATCAGAAGGCATAGGAAAGTCGTTTGGCATAAATTTAAGAGAATTTGAAGTTGCAAAAGGGAAATCATTCCATAATTTGTAGTTATGCTTGAATTAGTAGTAAAAAGTTAAAATTAAAAAATATAAAAAAATTATACCAAATTAAAAGTTGTAAAATTATGTGCATATTGTGGTGACATTACAGGCATCTGTTTAAATAAAAAACTTTAAAATGATTATTTTTTTGATTTTTGGAGAAAAAATCAAATATCAATAGGGGTAAGCTCATTACGTTTTTTTGAAATTCACTTTTGCACTAACTGCTAATCGTGAATAAGGGAAAATTTTTTATCTTTTCCCTCAAATAAAATGAGATAGAGAAAAGATTTTAAAAAATAATTTAATAAGCAGAAAATTTATAAAAATTTATTTTAGAAAAAATTTCTGAAAATGAGTAAGATTCAACGAAAAAACACATAAAGAAACCCAATAAAAATAGACCGAGCCCAATGCTCACATATCCAAAGTTTTATTAACCAAGATATATAAAATTGATCAAAGTTACAAATTAAAAAAACGAACCTCGGAAGGCCCCAAATATTCATCATCATAAGGAGGCTTTGTTGCAGTTGAAATAAATGAAGGATATTCCCAAATAGAATTATTTTTTGTTTTGTAGAGTGGAATACTTGGTTGAATAATCTCATCATTATCAGGCATTTGAAGACGAAAACGCATCAAAGAAAGAATTGAGCGTGTCAAAACTTAAAAAAAAGAAAAATTAATTTTTCAAATCAAATTTGAATCTTTCATTGCTAAAAAAATTAGGTGGAACCTCGTTATACCTATTAAACAGATATAGGCACAAGATAACTAAAAGAGAAAATGGGCGAGTAGATTTATTGAGGATGAAAAAGAAGAGTTGCCATTTTGCCCTATAAATCCCTACTCTAACGGTCAAACTTTGAACGGCCATAACTCGGCCCAAAGTCATTTTGCAAAACTGATAACATTTCGTAATAGGACGTCAGGGTCCTCTATCGAATGGAACAAAAAAATACAAAATTCCCGTTTATAGTAAACGATGGTTCACTGTGAGATAGTTAAAAACTCTTTGAATGACAACAAAAATCGAATTTGCTTCGAAATTACTTCGACGTTAATCAGTCAGTCCTTTTAGTTCAAGCCAGCGTTCGAGGTCTTTCAGGCTGGCTTGCTTAAAAAGGAGTACTGATTCACGTAACTAACCTTTTACATCTGCCAATAAATTTTCAAAGAAAAAACGTCCTTTCCTCTTCATTTCTAGCAAATCTTGAACGCTAATTGACCGCAAAATAAAATGTAATTCAGAAAAACGGCTAGGTGGAATTTTAATTGTTGCTAATCTCCAATCAACAAATTCATCAAAAGGCAAAATTGTGTGAAGCGAACAAATTACTGGAATTGCTCCCGCCTCGAGAGATTCATAAAAGTTTTCTAAATTAAAATGAGAATTTAAAAATTTGGATTTTTGCTAGAAAGAGATTTGTCAGAAAGTTCCTAAACTTAATGGCTTCCAATATGTAAATTTTTTAAAATTAATTTTTGGCTAACGAATAAACAAAAAATTAATTATTACATTTTTTCATTTCAATAAAAAGCAGTAATGTCTTATTGTTAGAAAAAAATGAAATAAAACAAAAAAAGGTCTCTGTTTCAATTTAAAAACAAGACAAATAAGTAACCTTGAAACGAATCCTCATCTGGAATAATTATTGCAAAAGTGCTTTGTTTATAAATTTCCATGCGCTCTTCCTTGGTAAAACATTTTCTATTCGTTGAACAATTAAAATTAATTAAATATTGATCTTGAGAAATATCCTAAAAATTAAAAAATATTTTTTTTAATTATTTTTAATTTACCAAAGATTTTTTAAATTCATCAAAATCAGTCCTTTGTTGTTTTAAAAGTTTTGTATTCCTTCCCAAGAAGCTAACAAAATATTTTTTAAATAAAGGCAACAGTGGAGATAAATATAACAAACGATTTGGATCATAATCTGGAACAGACATAAAAATGTTGAGATCCATAGAATGTCTAAAAAAAGAGAAAATTATGAAAAAAAAATTTTCGTTCATAGATTATCATCAGTTAATTAGGTAAGGGAGAATTAGATGGGGTAGTGGTAAAAATCTCATTTCCATGACAGCCTTAAGGGATGGGCCTTTTAATTAAGGGATTCCCTTAAAGGGATGGCCTTTTAATAAATTTCCATTATAGAACAATAAAAAGAATTATTTAAGTCTTAACCTTAAATTCCTGAAATTTTTAGAAGAAATAAGCATAGAAGCCTGGACATCAGTCGGACTCAATTCCCGACTCAAATCAATTAAAAGATGATTTCTTCCATTTTGTCCAAAATAATTTAAATTTTCAAGTTCTTTTCCAACATCTATAAAAGCAATAAATAGGCAGGCATTATCAGGATTTGAAGTAATTCTTTGAACGCTTTGACGTTGAAATTCCAAATAAAATCTCTTCGCCAATTTTGAGCTGTTTTTCGATAGAGGATATAAAAATAGCTTTAATCCTTTAGTAATTGAACAACGACTGAAATTTTTAAAAATTAAAAAAAAATTTTAATAACAAATTTTCAACCTAAAATCAACGCTTTCTTCAAACAAATTAAAATCTGAAAATTTTTTTTCAGGCTCTTCTCTTCGATTTTTTTCAAGAGGAGAATGAGGCAGTTTTAATTGAACACTTCTCTTATCACTATATTCACGTCTTAATAAATCAAGCTCTTTAAGTAAAATTTGAATTTCCCTGAGTTCTGCTTCTTAAATAAAAAAATTTTCGTTGAATTTCCAAAAAAATTTTTTTAACCTTTAGTTGGAATCAATTTGTTTATTGCATCTAATTGTTCGGAGGCCTGTTCAAACTTTTCCAGTAGACGAACATGTTCTAATCGAACAGATTGAAAAACACGTTTCTCCTCGTTGGTAACAACTGGATGAAAGTGATTAGAACATTCAAATCTTGTATTTTGGCTAAAAAAATTTAAAATTTTTAAAAAAAAATTTTAAATTTTACAAACCTTTTCGAGTATGGCAATTGGTTGTAAATTAAAAATGTTGAGCAAATAAAACAGGCAATAAGTAGAAAAAATGTTATTAGCTTATATGTGGATATCCTTTTAAATCTGTATTTGATGTTCCACATTTAACGCAAAATTTGTTTATCATTAGTAAGGGGACACTAGATCGAAAAAACCAATAAACGGAAAATACACAAGTTAATAAAAAAATTAAAAAAATTATTTGATAAAATAAAATCAGTAAAAATTAATTAAGCATTTTGTTAAAAAATTTTATTATTAGCGAAATAGCCGATTTGAGTAACGGGAGAAAATCAAAAGTTTAGAGAATGAGAATCATTTAAAAATTAAATAATTTAATAGAGAATTAAGAGAAATAAAATTTACATGTGTAAATTTTGTTTAGAAGGAATGCAGTAAAAAATAAAAATAAGAAAATGTTTTTAAAATTTAGAGGCGCCTTAATGACAACAAGCTCTATTATAGAGATTGGAATTTTGAAAAAACGTGTCCGGGAAAGGAAACGGGTTCTGAAAGTTGACCGGGAGGGACCCGGACCGGCAATTCCCGTTCCCGGTTTCATCCCGGTTGCTTCAAAAAACCGGGAAAAGGGACTCAGAAACGGGGTCCGGACCCGTTGTCTCTACTCTATGCTTCGTCCATTTCATCCTCTTTCAAAAAGACAGATATCCAAAAATCACCGAAACAGAAAAATTTGCGACTAAGGCCCATTACAATAAGTGAGAAATAACAAAATAAAAACATTCACAATTTTTCCATTTTAAATTCAGATTTCAATAAGCCATTGATTTAACGAGACCAAACAAAATATTTGAGCAAAGAATAAAAGTTCCACAAAATGTTATTAATTTTTCAATTTGTCTACGTAAACTTAAAAATAATTTTTTAAAATTTTTTGAATAATTAAAAAAACCTAGCAGATAAATTTTGAAAAAAATAGTTAACAACAGTATTGCTAATAAATTGGCCATCAAGTCCATAACAGGGAACGGCATTTAAAACACCCATAGCCAAAGAAAAGGTAATTAAATAACTTGAAAAAAGCTCAAAAATTCGAGGAATCCACCAAGGCACAAAAGCTTAAAATTGAAAAAATAAAATTTAAAAATAAAAAAATACCAAAACGAGGCGTTAAATCAGAAATGCCAACCAAATAAAGAGGCTAAAAATTGCTATAATTTTTGAAAATACTAAAAAAAGACAAAAACCTCGCTGAGGTAACCAATAAATAGTACAGGCTTCCGTTGATCTTTAACTTGAAAACGGAGAAGAATTGTGTCATTGTAAAGTGCAGGGACAACACAAACATAACCATAAGGCAAAATCTAAAGAAAAATAAAAAATAAAGATTTTCAGACTTAAATGTAGATATCGCCGGATTTTGATTTTAGATATCCATAAACTCGCATACTTTCAATTAGAGTCCGGACGGAGGGGATTTTTTCGATATTATATTTTCGATAATATCGAAAAAATCGTATCGAGCCGGGCTCTACTTTCAATTTTAATAGGTAGATTTTTAGCTAGTCAATGGGTAGGGTCAATAGCTATTTAAAATAACCTCGCACTTAATTACCAACTTTAAGTACCAAGGAGGTATCTAAAATCAAGGTCCGATGCTTACCGAAAAAGGCTTTGAACTTCTACTTGAAATTTGGCATTGTGCATGTTCCGTGACTGTTTAAAAAACAAAGATTAATATTAGAAATATTTAAAAGATTTTATTTAATTCTACAAAAAATTCATACCTTGCATTGCAGGAAGACAAGCATGTGAATAATCTATTGAAGAAAGAGGGTCATCTTTCAAATTTATATTAGGTTGACGAGTTGTAGCTTCACTTAAAGAGAGCAAACGCTTAAAAATAAATTATTTTAATTAAAAAATTAGAAAAAATTCCTTTACCGTTTTTAAATCTGTTGCCCTCTTTTGACGTTTTTGAACCCCGAATTCAGCTTCAAAATCTGGAAATTCAGGAAATATTGGCTTTTGAACTGTTGGTGGTTGTGTTGTGCTTTTTTTAATAGGAGATAAATATCGAAAACATATATGTGTAGTGTTTGTAACATTAAATTCAGAGCAGCATTGAACCTCCCCTTCTGAACGGGCAACTTTATCTTCTGAAGCTGTCATCCTCGAAACTGCACGATATTGAGCCAAAAATCCAATTGAATGATTTGTACTGATTTTACCACTTAAACAAGCAAACCAGTCATCAGAGTTGCGTACCTTGCATTGGTTGACACGAAGAATTTGATGACCAAGTTGAAGGCCTGTTTGACCATAGAGACCAGAACGTGGAGATATACCTGTTTATGGAAGAGAAAAAAATCAGTTTTATTCAAAAATATTCTAAAAAAAATTTAAAAGCAAACTATCCAAGAATTTACAAAATGAGTATTTGTGTAGTTTCCCTCCCCTAAGCCCCGCCCTCTTTTTTATTCATTTTCTTTAAAAATTTCATTTGGTCATTTTTACACGGAGAAGTTGCGAGGTGTCCGGCATAAAAACGGTCGAGACCGGGCTCATTCGATAGAGAATGTGCCCTTTCTAGCAAGGATTTTGAGCCGTTTTTGCCCGTTTTTTGATTTGGCCAAGATATGGCCCTCCAGAGTCCCAAAATTAAAATTTTTTAATTAAAAAATTTTTTTATAAAAATCAAAAACCTGTCACAACAACACCCGCATTGTTAGAATAAAAAGGTTTGAATATCACAGGAATTAGTAAAAGCAAAAAAAATCCAAAAAAGGCAAGAATAATATTATGCCAAACTCCAGCACCATAAATACGCAATTTTTGAGCACAGGAACAGCGATCTTTAAAGATTTTTTAATTTATTTAAAAAATTAATTTTACCCAATTCTGTCGGTTCTACTTCAGTAAAAGCACCAGGATAAATAGCGAAAACAAAAAATCCGAGTCCAGTAACCCTTACATTTGAACTTGCTGCAGCTATTGCATGTCCCGCTTCATGAAGAATACTTGCAATAATTAAAACAGCAACAAATATGGGCATATGGGAAAGTGGAAGATTAAGGCCAGGAAGGACGGGGGTAATGCCAGCTAAATAAAAAAAATAAAAATTAAACAAATAAATTAAATATGTAAGAGAATTGCAGGATCCCGCAGAGGTACGGAATCTTAATGGAGCAATTCCGGAAGGTAAAAAATATAGGAGATTGCAGGTGTGGAACCCAGCAATTCACAGCATTTCCCCGATTTTAAACAAATCAAAAGAGTTTCAAAAAATTTTACTAAATAAATCAGGCCTTAAAATTTCTGATAAAAACATGATCATGGGACAAGGAAACGAAAAAATCTTTAAAAAAGACATAAGGAAAAGTCACCGCTAAAGTAAAAAATATAGAAGATGCAGGTGTGGATTTAAATAAAAAAATAAACAATAACGAAAAAATTGTTAATCATCGATTAACATCCCAACTTTTTACAATAAATTTTAATAAAAAAAATAAACCATTAATATGTTCATGAAGTGGAAGAAAAATCGGAGCATGTAAAAGCCTCAAAGTATAACTTGGTTGAATTGTCTCACTTTTTGGCGTTGAATTTTGTTTTTCAGACAAAAAAGTTGAAGAGAATTCGGAAAGTAATAAATGTAGCAAATAAATAGGCGTAGTCACATAAAAAATGAGAGAAATAAAAGCACCAATTGTGAACCACAAAGCCTGGAAATTTTTGAAAAAAATTAAAATTTAATTAAAAAAATGTGGTACTTGTGAGTTATCTCATAACAATTCTTGCGGACATATTTTGCGGACTCGCTCATAATTAGAGAGACTAATTTGGTGACATTAGAAAGAAAAAATGGCTGTAGGTTAGTCGAGGGCCCGCATTCGAAAGCCCTTGATAAGCTCTTACTTTTACCCAACTGTGTATGGATCAGGTCTGATCACTCATAAAAAAGTTATACCCCAATAGCGAAAAACAACGATTTCTTGCACTTATCGACTTGTAACTTTTTGGTGAGTGATCAGACCTGATCCATACAGTTGGGTAAAAGATAGACTGGAAAATAGAGTGAAAATGATGAAGGAAGCCTGACCATTCTATAAACGAGTCACGCATAAATATGTCCGCAAGAATTGGTATGAGATAACTCACAAGTACCGCAAAGGTTAATTACAATTAATTTTGTTCTTTTCGGACTAGACAAAATTTTTTCCACAAATTCTTGTAAAAAATAGGGCGAAGAATGGTGCTCTAATTGAGTAAAATAAACACGAAACTGAATTTTAAGAAAATTAAATTTTAAAAAATTTTAAGAAAAAAAAAACTTGAAAAGGAGCAAAAGAAAGGCCATAATGTCTCAATAATTTTATATATCTTTAAAAAAATTATTTTTTAGAAAAAATTTTGAAAATTTAACCTTGAAGACTTTGAATGACGAAAATAAAGATCCAAAAAATAAATGGTAGACCAAAACAAAATGATAAAAATAATTATTGTAAAAAACATATTAGGCACATTTTTGTGTTGTAGACAATTAAACTTAAAATTGTTTTTTTATCCTTTTTTCAATCTCAAAAATATTTTATTAAAATCTCCTTTTTATTCCAAAAATACAAAAAATTAAGTTAGAAAATTTTTCAACCTTCGGGGAAAATTAAAAAAATAAAAAATATAGTTTCAGGACGTTTTGGTGCCAAGATTAGAGTATCAAGCAAAAAGGGACCGTTTCAGTGTATTATTAGAGATATGCTTTTCTGTGTACTATATTCTCTCATTTAAGCTTTGATATAAATAAGATTGCTAATTTAGTCTATTTTCATGAAGAAACATCAAAAGGAGCAAAAAAAGAATTTTTGCGGACTGATCACTGAAAGCATTCTTCTCCTTGTATTTGAAAATTTAAAAATACCCCTAAAATTTCTACTATAAAAACCCAAAGAAAAAGTACCAAAGAAAAAACATCGTCTACAATCGCAACGCCCGAACTTATAATTTCTAATGTCGTCTACAAAAAGTGCAATGGACGCAACTGTATTTCCGGATGTTCCTCTCTCACAAACGGATTTGATTATCATTGGTGGGGTTTTGATTGGTTTCTTGGTCCTTCTTAGTATTTTTTACTGCTGTTGTTGCCGTCGAAAGGTGAAATTAAAAAATATTTAAAGAAATCTAAATCCAAATATTTTCTTTTTAGAAGAAGACGTCGCCACATGAAGTGATCATTGTTGAAGAAATACAAGTAGAGACTTTTTCTGAGCCGCCAAAACGTGTTTCCTCGCAAAAACGCAGCACACCTCAACAAATTAAAGCGCCACAAAATCAAAAACCGAAAAGCGTGAAAAAGAAGTCCAAATCAAAGAAGCCAAAGAAAAATGCTGGCGACGAACTTCCAGTTAATAAAGACTTGGCATTGGCAGCTGGGGTTGTGGTGCCTGGGACTTACGAGGATATTGTGGAAGTACCAGGTGCTTTTGGGTTTTTGTAGAAAGGACAATTTTGTTTATAAAACTATATTTTGGAAGAGATGCCAAACACTCCTAAATCGACTAACTCCCCCCTCTAGTTGTTCTTCCCCCTCTCTCTAAAGCAAATTTCGGTGAATTGTCCTTTCGGTGAATTGTCTTTTCGGTAAATTGTCCTTTCGGTGACTTACCCTAATTTTTAATTATTTCCCAGTTTAATTTAATAATTTTAGTTGGCAAGCCAGATAAAAAACAACAGCAAAAGGGAGCGGACAAAGGCGGTAATAAAAAAGGTAAAAACAAAAATATATTTAAATTTGAAAAAATTTTTAAAATTTATCAGAAGCGGCCGACGATATTTACAATTGAAGAATTTCTCTCTCTCTCTCAACACTTGTTAAAATGGATGTTGTAAATGTTTAAATAAGAATGTTTGTTTGGATAAATAATGTTTTTCTGTAGTAAATAAATAAATGTATTTTGTTGTTGTTGTTATATTTCTCACCAAACATTTGTTGATTTTGTTTAGTAAATTTTGTTAGAGAATTTCTGTTCAATTTTTGCGTAGTTTATTAAGGCCGTAAAAGTTTCCTTCTATCATTTAAAATACCGTATTTGCTAAAATAATTACCCAGGGTAATTATTGTTTCAATCTCTCGCTGGAGGGGGTAATTAATAGGGAGGGGATAATTTGAGAGAGGGACATTATTTACGGTAAACGTGGAATGGATCACTCAATAGCGAGGTAATTGAACAGTTAACAATCTTGTATTAGAGCTCTCAAGATCTATCCAATAATTTTGTTTTTTTGGATAGATTCGGTCGCTCTTTAATAAGAAAAAAGAAAATCAAAGACGATCCTCAAAAAATCTAAAATACCTAAATCATTTTGTTCGTTCCATTTTTTGAAAAATAATAATTAGTTACAACATACCAGGGTTGCCGCCCGAAACCCGAAACCCGGTCTTTTTTTGTACCCGAAACCCGATACCCGAAATGAAAATTTTCCAACCCGAAACCCGTACCTGAAAATGGATATAGTGTAGTGTACCGGTGGTAAAAGTTCTGGACGTGACATATGTCATTCGATTCGTCTCGACGAGCTGAGTCGAACGGTACCACTCCCTACTTTAGGAAATAATTCTGCACCGAGTTATAGGTCCCGAAAAATCGGAAAACCATAGGGGGGACCAAGCACTTTTTTGGGGTGAAAAATTCGAAAATTCAAATTATACCTCATTCGAAAGAGCTCGTCGAGCTGAGTCGAATGACACCAAAATCACCGTGATTGGACAAGATTAGACAACGTTACGACACAAAAAACAAAAAAAAACCTAAACCTATGGGGCGTCGGCGAGGCGCTTGTGCAAAACCCCGCGCTTCGCGCGGGGTTTTGCGGCACGCGCCTCGCGGGGAGTCTACGGGCGGTGGGTCTGGGCTCGTAACATAAACCTATTCCTATCTCCCTTGCTCTGGACGTATTTGGGGCCTCCGTAGCAGCAAAAATCTTCACAGATGCCATAGGTAAGGAGCTAAAACAAAGGATCATAACTTTGTCGAATCAAGTCAGATTTCGTTGATTTTGGTGTCATTCGACTCAGCTCGACGAGCTCTTTCGAATGAGGTATAATTTGCATATTCGTATTTTTCACCCCAAAAAGGTGCTTGGTCCCCCCTTTGGTTTTTCGATTTTTCGGGACCTATAACTCGGTCCAGAATTATTTCCTAAAGTAGGGAGTGGTACCGTTCGACTCAGCTCGTCGAGACGAATCGAATGACATATGTCACGTCCCGAACTTTTACCACCGGTACACTACACTACAGCCCTGAAAATTTTTGTACCCGCGGCAACCCTACAACATACATAGAAGAGTACAAAACTATGCAAAACAATGTTTTTGTTCAAAAATGTGTTCCCCTTTTCTTCCCCTTTTCATTTAATTTTATAATTCGAAGAAGTCAATTCCCAAACTAATTTTTCATTTAAAACCAAGTTTTAAAAATTTATTACATTTTTAAAAATTTCTTTTCCATTTCCGCTCATTTTTTAAATAAAAATTTTTAGGACAAATTATTGAACCGGAAATGACGTTTTAACAGAAAAATAAAAAAGAATAAAAATCCTGAGGAAATTGAGAACAAAGGTGAGGAGAAACTTTGATTTCGATTGTTTTTCCTCAATTTTTTCCAAATTTTTTTTCATAAAATTTCTCTATGAAATAAATTTATAATTAAAATAAAATTATTTTTCTAAATCAATTTTTCTGGAGATCTCTGGAGTAACAATCTCCTCGAGAGCTAAAAAATTTTTAAAAAAACTTTTCATTTTTAGTGATTTATCTTTTCTACTATCAGATTTATCAATCAAAATATGGAATATAATATAGTAAAGCAGCTGCTCTCCTTTAGCTAGTGCAAAAGGTTAATCGGCGACTGGGAGCGAACCAGCATCTTCAGTAGACCGGACCGATGATGTTAGCCATTACACCACGCCGCCTACTGCACTATAATATAAATTGCCCTTTAATGAACTTGTGTAGAAAAAACGCACAAAAACGCAAAGAGAACTGGCCAAATCGAAATTTATTTTTTTGATTTTTTTATTAAAAATTTTTTCCCTAAAATTATTTTTAATGGTCAGTCTGTCAGTGTCAAGATCCTTCTCTTCTTCCCCACTCTCTTCACATTACTCCGCCAAAACCCCTTGTCTCCCCACAAATAAATATATTCATTTTCCCTTTATATAAATTTATTATTTTGTCACACTACACGCCTGTGCAATTAGCTTTTTCTCCTTTTTTTAATAAAAACCAATTCTTTCCCCTCTTCATTTTTCATTCAAAACCAAAATTAAATATTTAATATTTTTGTTGTCATCGTTCTAAAAGAGAGTGGCTGGTTTAAGAAAGGAGATAAAGTGGGAGTGAGAGACTTCTTTGATCGTTTACGGCATTAAAAGAATTTTTAATTTAGATTTTTTAATTATTAATTTGCGTGAGGAAAAGAGGGAAGAAGAGAAGAAAATCTTCTCTTTTCTTCTTTTTCTAAACTTAAGTGTCGATTTTTCTTTAATTAAATTTTCTGATTTTTATTGAAGAAGTTGTATATTCTTTTATTTTTTAAATTTTCTTTGTCAGATCTCCAATTTTTTAAATTTATTTTTGTTAATTAAAAAAGAAGCTTGAGAATTTGATTCCAATAAAAGAAAAACATAAATATTTTTTTAATTTTTGAAAAAAATTTTTCGGAACGTAAGGAATCAAAATTTCCTGAAGTAATCCAAATTGTTAGATTCAGACCTGGTCACGGATACTGATCTTGGTATCCGTATCCGCATATTTACTGACGGATACAGACGGATACAGGCGGATATCCGCAGGCATTTTGATATTATCTGTATCCATATCCGTATCCATGGGCAGGTCTGGTTAGATCTCCAAATATTTTAATTTTTTTAATAATTTTTTTGCAGTCTTTTCTTTATTTTAAACATTTCCAAATTGTTTTTTTGGAAAGAATATATGTTTAATCTATTTATTATTACAAGCATTGTAGAGGATTTATTTAAAATATTCTCAATTTTTTAAATCTCGATTTTTGCATTAAATTAAGAAGACGAAAATAGCTAAAATAATAAATTCATTTTTCTGTATTTATTTAAAAACCTTTAAATTAATTAATTTTCTAATCCAAATTTTTAAATTTTAAAGTTTAACCCTATGCTTAACTCGCTTTGCGTCTTGCGACAGAAAATAGCATTGAAAAAGAATCGCTCATTAACTTTTCCCTCCTCTTTTTAGTTATCTTTTCTGTCGCAAGACGAACACACAAAACTTTTAGTCGAGCATAACATTTAACCAAAAAACATTTTTTTAATTTTAAATAAAATTTTTGTTTTGTGTTTTAAAATTCTCCTCATCATTTTCAATCCATTTTCACTTCATTTACTTTTTTTTCTCATCAAAAAAATATTTTTAATAAATATTTCTTCCCTCTTCTTCCCTTATCCTCAGGCAGTCGAATTTAGTTCCAGTTGAGTTACTACTAAATTATATAACCTCCCCCCTCTTCCAAAACAAACATTTAAATATTTTTAATTGCCCGTTTCTCATTTTCAATCCATTCCCTATTTTCATAAATTATTTTCTGTAGGTTTGTCAATAATATAACATTTTTCTTTTAATTATTTATTCCTCAAGACTGTTCTGGAAAATAAATATTTTATTGACCTTCTTAAATAAATTTATTTTTTTATTTTCTCTAAAAATATTTTTCTTAATTTTGATAATGCTGTGGTTACATAAAAATCGCTTTGCGTCTTGCGTCACAAAAAAACCTTGAAAAAAGGAGGTGACAAAATCGCGCGCGACTTCTCTTTCTTTTTTTCTATTATTTATTCTGTCGTAAGATGCAAATCGAATTAATATGAGCTTTTTGAACGCTAACGAGTAGGGTTGTCGGTTCCTGGAAATTCTTCGGATATCTGAAACGAACCGAAGTACCGAACCGAAAAATCATCGGTTCCAGACCGGCAACCCTATTCACGAGCTTTTTGAACGTTCAACGAGTTCTCGTCCCTATTCGATCTCTAATTTTATATTTACTTTCTTGCATAAATAGGAGTAGTAGGAGCTCATAAAGATTTTCGACCTTCATAAAAATATTTTTAAAAATTTTTATTGCAATCGTTAAAAATCTTTTTAATAAAAAAATTATTACCAAAATTTTGCATTTAGATAATAATTTTTATTGTCTTTTTAATTTTTTAATTAACTCGTTATTTTTAAATTAATTTAATTTAACTTTTAGACCTATCATTTAATTAATTTTTAAATTTTTTTTATTTTTTTAATAAAAAAAAATTATTTTTTTCCTTTAGTTTCCTGAACATATCCTCCTCCATATATTTATTATTTTCATATTTTGTTCCTCCTATTTTTTATTTTTTATAAGGCATTAATAATTACAAATCCTCTCGATATCACATTAAAGACACTCTTGCCTGTACCTTTCCCTCATTACTGGACATTTCCCTCATTACTAGCTTTACATAGCTCAATGAAAGGCTTAATAATGTTCGTGCCGTTCCTCTCCTTTATTAGAAAATTTTTCCATTAAAGTCTGGACTTTTAATTTTTCTCAGACTCCAACGGCGCTGGGCGGAGCAATAACAAATAAAAAAGGGTTAAACGTGCAAAAGGAAGGGCGAGAGTAGGAAAATAAAATGTAGGGGGGGAGGGCCACTTGTCCACTGCGCCCTTGGCCTCGATACCCGTTGGTCTCTTTATTCATTGTCCCTTTCTCTCTCAAAAACTCACGGCTAGTCCATTCTATAACATTTTATATTTTCCCCTTAGAATGTTTGTAGGTAGGTGAGAGGAGATATACATTTCCGCTCGCAGATTTTTTTCTTTTTTTTTCAACTTTAAAATCAAAAACTTGCCTATTTCTTTGTTTATTTTTTGAAAAAAAATTTTAAAGAAAAGGCCACCCCCATAATTTTTGTTTTTCAAAAGGTTAGCAACTTTGTTTCGGTCAACTTTTCTAAAAAAAAGTTTCAAATTTCAATTTTGTTAAATCACCCGCTGATGGACTCTCTTCAAAACTTGCCTTCTTTAAAATACTTTAAAACTCTAAAAATCACTCAAAAAAATTTTCTATTGTCCAATTCTTTTTTTTCGCCACTCATCCACTTTGCACCATCACCTTTTTTTAATTTTATAAAAAAACAAATTGGCCGCGACATTCTTCTAAATAGCCTCACAATATTCTCCTCTATCAAATAACTAATTCGCATGCTTAATATATAGCTTTTTTTGGGGAATTTTTATTTTTTTTTAATAGTTATGCTTCACTTTCTCCATATATTTTTTTATTCTCATATTAAGTTAATTATTATTAGGATTTTTCGAAGCTGACCGTTCGAGTCATTTTTTCGGGCCTCATTTTTAGTGAACCTAGCCGTTCACGTCTTTTTCGGGCCAAAATTCGAGGCCCGGTTCGATTTTTCGAACCGAACCAGGCCGGGCTCTCTAACCTAATTATTTATCCTTGCCTCATTTTATTTATCTTTTGCTTTATTTGTCTTAACCCTGCACTTCTTTATTAAACAACTCTACATTAGGCACATATTTTCATTTTATTTGTTTGTTTCAGGGATGGGTCAGATTAAGAACATGTTGGGAGTGATTTCGGGGGGCACCCCGGACCAACCCTGGTTTGTTTCGTTTTTATTGACTGCTTCAGTTTTGTCTGCTTCAGATTTGATCAATTTTATTCCTCCTGCCGAATTTTTCAAATATTTTTTTGCTTTTGCTTCAATCTCCAATTTTTCAACAATCTTTTCCCTATTTTTTACTATTTTTCTTCATTTTTTATTATTTTTTCTTTTTTAATAAAAAACACTTTTTTCTCCCCCAATTATTGCCAAACACTGACCATTGCCCAAAGTGATGATATTCCTTCCTTCTTTCTTTCAGGCAGTTTTTAGAAGCCCAATTATATGCTTCAATAAACACAGCAAACATTCCTTTCATTTTTTTGTTTGGCGCAAAAATTACTTTTATTTTTTCTCCTTAATAAATAAATAAAACTAACAAAACAAACACACAATTGCCAAAGAAACTTTTCTTCTCAAAAAATTTTTTTTTCTTTTACTTTTCCTTAAAAATAAATATAAAATTATATACTATTTAGATTACCTCAAAAAGCAGCTGGCAAAATAAAAAGGAGGGAAGGGATTGTTTTTAGTGTTTTCTAGTTAGTCCACTCTCGACTCTTTTAAGGGCTACTTATTACCTTTTTTTTATTTTTTTTTCTTCTTCCCTTTCAATGATTAATTGACTTTTTTATGTAAAAAGAATTTGTGTTATTATACAAAAATAATGTCCAAAAAAAATAAAAAATAAATTTTGGGGTAAGCACAAATGTGGGTTTTTAAAGATATTTTTATAAATAAATATTTATTTACGGCTTCCTTTATTTTTAAAAATTAAATTAATTAATTTTTTGTCTTCCAACTTTTTCAAAATATCAGAAAATGTGTGTTCCTTTAAATATTTTTTGGGAAAATTTTTTTCTTTGTTCTCAAGCCTTTTTTTAATCTTCAAAAAATCTCTTTGATCTCTTCCATTTTTTTTAAAATATTTTTGTTTGTGTATTGGACTTAGCCAGAAGTTTTATTTTTTTAATCTAACAGATTTTAGAGAGTTTCTTCTCAAATCTTTCCAAATTTAAAATATATAAATATGATCAGAATTAAATATTTAATTTAATTTTTAGCTAAATTTGTTCTCTAAATTATTCTAAAATAATTTAATGACAAAAAAAATTATTTTTAAATTTCGCTTAAAATAGGGTAGCACCTCGTCCCCCGACGAATTTTTAAGCAAAAACCCCGACCCGAACACGAAGGCTCTACTCCGGCAATCCCCGAAACCAATCACTTCTGCCCACGAAGGCTAGGGGTTCTACCCTCTTCTAAAATTTAATACCCCTCTTCCCTTAAAAAATTTTTTCCATACAAAATTTTTAAAAATATTTTCAGAATTTAAATAAAAATGGAAGAAGAATTAAAATGCCCCCAATGTCGTCACTTTCTTCGCCAACCCGTTCTTCTCCCTTGTGGACATAGTTATTGCCGTGATTGTGTTCTTCTATTGAAACAACAAAGAAGAAATGAAGGGTTATTGTTGCCTTCTCTTCCTCCTCTGCCACAATCTAATTTATGCAGCAGTTCTATAGTTCCTTCCTTTTCTTCTTCATCTTCAGCGCCTTCTAGCTCATGTTGGGAAGCTTGAAAAAAATTTTTTTGAAAATATCTTTGAAAAATTTCAAAAAATTTTTTGGGATTTTTCTGAAAATTTTTTTGAAAATTTTTTCAATTTTAAAATTTCCTATATTTTCTCAGGTGCTTCTGACACTCTCTCATTAGCCCCGTCATGTTGTGATGAGGGTGATCACTCCTCCGCACCAGACGATAAATTGGACAAACTGTCACTTCTTAGTGACTCAGCCGACTCTGGGTTTGGTGGTGGAGTGTTCCGTGCTGTGGCAGTTGGTGCGCTTTTTGTTAAAAGAATTTTCCCACAATTATTAATTAATTCGGATAAATCAAAGGATGGGAAAAGTTAAAAACTGATAAGCAGAAAGGAAATGGTTGCAAGTCTTTTAAAGGAGAGGAAAGTAAATTTTGAAGAGAAAATGAGCTAAAAGACTGATTTTTGTATTTAATTTTAAAATAAAAAAGGATGAAGAGAAAAGTGGAAAAATTCAAAAAAACTTTTTTCTGCTAGTTGGGACCAAATGTCACCTCAAAATTAATTTTTATAAAATTTTCCCTTATTTTTTTAAACAATCAGGCTCTCGCCCAAACAGTTTTCTTTCAACAACCGGTCATCACCTTCCCCGTCCTCTCCCTCCACTTCCCTGTTCAATTCTTTCTCCATCTTCTGCCAGTACAACATTTTTACTTCAATGCCTAGTTTGTCATAAACCAGCATACTTTGCCGATGAAGAAGATGCTATTAGACGACTGCCAGAAAATGCAACAATTTCTAGATTATTAGTTAAATATTTACAACAAAAACAGACGGCGATTCCTGTTGAAGAAGGGAAAATAACTACAACGAATAATACTGTAGTTGAACCTGTACCTGAATGCCAGGCAAAATTTTCTTTTATTTCGAGATTGTGAGAGGTATTGAACTCATGAAAGTAAGAGAACTTACAGGACGTAGAGGAAGAAGCCTCTCCCGGCCTGTTAAGTTAATTTATACCCCCCCCCTTCTCCTCCTCTCTTAGAAACAAGGCTTCCCTTCTCTCCCTGTTGGCCGTCTCGTCAGGAAGTAGATGAAGGAGCCTCTCCGGCCTCTTAGTTTTATTTATACCCCCCCTTCCCCTCTCATATAGTCCTCTCCCTCTCTGGTAACCGTTTCGAGCTCTTCAAAATTAAAAATCATGATGACACATGGGATCAGTCAAAGATTAACAAGTGATAAAATATAGACTCATGTTTTTAGTGGTGTGAAAATCCATTGGGTGCTCTCCCATCAAAATTTCATTGCGGAACTTGTGGTTATTTTTATTGTGAAGATTGTCAAGCAGCATTACATCCACCTAGAGGGCCATTAAAATTCCATCAACTTGTGCCGTCAGAACAATTTAGGTAGAATTTCTAATTTTTCCTCCTCATTCCCCTCTCATTTTTAGACGTTTTAAATCCTCCCAATTTGATTTGTCTTCTCCAAGTGCCTCAACTTCCTTAATTAATTCACAATATTCTTTCCCTTCTTCACTTGCCAAATGTTCATTGCATGCCGAACAAGAATTGAATTTATATTGTTCTTTGTGTAGACAGGCAATCTGTAATGTTTGTACTAATGGAATGAGACATTCTGGGCACCCTGTTCAACCAATACATTTGGCTGCTAAGGCACATAAGGCTGGTTTTTGATTTTTTTGAGATTAAAAAAGACTGGCTTTTAAACGTTAATAAAATTATTTTAATATAAGCCCCGGTCCTTTTATTTTTAAATGAGTCGCTGAAAGGGTAAATAAAAAACGCAATTATTTTACACGCTTAAAGATCTATGTTCTGGAACATACAGTGTTTTGATTTTTATTTTTTAACTAACCGATCCGACTCCGAAATTCGAATTTTTTTCAATCCGTAGGCGTTTGGGTACTTTTATAAGTAGAGGTCGGCAAAATCGTGTTTGCGGGATCCCGCGGGATGAATTTTTTTTAAAATCTTTGCGGGACGGGATCCCGCGGGATAAATCCCGCAAAATCCCGCATTCCCGCAAAATCCCGCATTTTAAATTTGCGGGATCCCGCGCGGGATTGCGGGATTTTCAAAAAATCGTTAAAATTATCAATATCTATTGAAAAAATCGATTTCCTAATCATTAATGGGTTCTTATCTCGTACTCGTTGCTCGTACACGTATTGTACTTCGTAACAATTTACGAGTATAAGTTGGTACAAAGGTATAATCACTTATCCCAGGTCCCCAATTATCAAAAAATCATAATGGGCAAGCTCATACATATTCGTCGGAATCGACTTGAGCTGAAACAAATGGGATCAATCATCGTGATAAAACAATTTGGGCAATTTTGTTTTGATGAAATAGAGATGATTCCATGTGCGGCAGGCGAAAATTTTGGAAGGCCAAGTATCCAAATTCCTAAATTTTTCAGCGCCGCAGGCAAAAATTTCGAGATTTTAGAAGGCCAGTGAGTCAAAATTCTCCTTTTTCTAGCGCCGCAGGCGAAAATTTTTTAAATTTAGAAGGTTAGGAGCCAAAATCCTCCATTTTCCAAAAATCCCGCAAAATTAAAAATATTTTGCGGGATCCCGCGGGATAAAATTTTTTAAAAATCTTTGCGGGACGGGATCCCGCGGGATAAATCCCGCAAAATCCCGCACTCCCGCAAAATCCCGCAAATCGAAAAAAGTGCGGGATTGCGGGACGGGATCCCGCAAAATCCCGCGCGGGATCCCGTCCCGCGCCGACCTCTATTTATAAGGCAGTCTAAATTTTTTCGGCGCGGAAAAATGGGCGCGGAAGGGAAAAAGGAAGGAGGTGGATAAGGGTACAAGTATCGGCTTTTGATATTACTTTTTTGACATTTCTTGACATTACTGTCACTTTACTGTTATATACATACTGCTTTATATTTAAGTCTTAAGTTTAATTATGTTTACGGGCAGGATGGTTAAGTCGGTAGTGTTCTTGCCTCCCGCGGACTGTGACGATTGCATTTTATGAGGCCCTATGATAACAGTATGCCCTCACTCTGAGTTCGCCTTTTTTTTTCTCAAAAAAAATTTCTATACAAAAGTTTTCAAATTTTTTTTCTTTTACATAGTTTTGGTTCAAATTAAATATAATAAAAATAAATCTAAAAAAAAATTGCATAGTAAAAAAACTTTCTGTTATATATTTAACTTTCTTTTGTTTAAATCAAGTTCAGGAGAGGTTGGTTGAGCCGGTAGTGTTCTTGCCTCTCGCGGACTGTGATGATGATTTAGTGTTTTTTGAGATATTCTTTGATAATAATATCACACACTCGCCCTGAGTTCGCTTTTTTCTTTATTCTCGTAAAAATTTTTATACAAAATTTTAGAATTTTTCTTTTTTAGTTTTTGTTTAAATCAAAAACTAATAAATCAAAAAAATTTGCACAGAAAAAAAGAAAAGTTTAAAGCTTTAAAAATTCCTAAAACAATCTGTTCTTCTTCAGTATCTTCCTTTGTTTTCAATTTTTTTTCTTTCCCTCCGTTCCTTCAAAATAATAATTCCTTCAACTATAATCTCTCTTTTTCCCCCATTCCATCAAAATTTAAAGGGTTAACATCTGTGCGCATTTTTCCTAAACATAAATCAAAGGAAGAGGGGGGGGAGGGGAAGAAAGGGGGAAATTGTTTCTCGACTTTGTGTTTGTCGGCTAATTGTTTTGAGTCTTTTCCTTATTTTTTGGCACACAAAAACGGTTCTTTCTTCCTTTTTTATAATTTAATAATATTTATTTTATTCGCGCCTAAGCTAATCATTAACGAGATTGCGGCTTTTGATTTTATTCTTTTTTAATGTAAAAATAAAAGGCGTTGAAGCAGAATAATGGAAATTTAGTTAGTGGATTGGAAATTAATTTTAAAGGAAATAAAAGAAGGGAGAGAGAGGGAGGATGTTCTGGAAAAAATTTAAATATTTATTTAATTTTAAAAGAAAATTTCAAAAATTTTTGTGAGGGAAAGGGAGAGAAGTTTATGGGGATTTTAAATTGGGTATGGAGACGAGTTTCAATTATCGTGTTTGAGAGAGGGGAAGAAGTTTACAGGGAAATTAGGTATGGAGATGAGTTTAAGTTATATTATAGTAATGTTTTTTAGAGTTCGAAGTAAGTCTTGGGAAAGTTCTCCCACTGAGATTCCAGATTTCCGTTTCATTCTTAAGTCTTCGGTTTCAATTTCTCAACTTACAATTTTCTATATTTCCAAATTTTTCTTCACTTTTTTCAAGTTTAGAAAAAACGAGAAATACATAGATTATAGTGCTTCGCCTGAACCGCAAATTTGACCTGGACCGGAACTTCCGGCGAAGCTATTCCCAAAACAGCCGTACCCTGAGTGGTCTTTTGGTGTCTTTAGAACCATACTAAATACCTAATTTTATTTATTTTTCCAATTTTAAGTCTTAAAATCTGATAATATTTTTAGACTGTCTAAAAGTAACTCTAAGTATATCCCCTCTAAACTCTCCATATTTTTAATGGTTTGACTTTTTTTTATTTTTATTTCCTCCGCGCATTCTTTTCTCCCTCTTTTTATTTATTTTTAACACCTGCACAAAAATAAACAATATAAAAATTCTTTCACATTTTTATTGTTTATTGTCACCAATTTTAAAATACAAATATATTAATTCCCCCTCTATAAGCCTCTCAATACTTTCTAATAAAAAATAAATTTATTCTAACACCAAAAACATTACTCAACCACCACAAGGCAATTTATTTATATGTGAACATTATATTAAGAGATTGAGGGGATTAAATGTGTTGAATAATGAAAAGAAAAAATATTTTTTGTCTGAATTAGGAGAAGAAAAAAATAAAAAAAAATTTTTTTGGGGAGAAGGACCAGAGATCCTTCTAAATAATTTTTTTGTTTTTTTGTTTAAGTGTTAGTCACCCCTTCAATCAAGAAGGGATTATTTTTTTCTTAAAAAATCCTCGAAAAAAAAAATTTTTTTTGACTTAAAAGATGTCAAAAAATCAAAAGAATTTATTTTAAAAAATAAATATTTAATAAGAGGGCACACACATCCCTTTTCTCGTTCCTTAATAATATCCTTTCAAAGAATTTTAAAACCTTCAGAAAAAAGTCCTTGGCCCTTTTTTTCTATTTTTTGTTTTTAATCTTTTTTCCCTTTTTTGGGATCTCGCCGCGGGTGGTCAAAATACCTTTCCCTCTCGTTACCACAATTTTTCTTTCATAAATCTTTAAATAAAGCAATGATAGGGGAAATTACAATTTTTGAGTGTGCACAAAAAATATGTTTTTAGAGAACGCCAAAATTTTACATATTTTTAAAATTTAATTTTAACCTTCCAAAATACTACCCGGGGTACCTATTGTTCGATCTCTTGATTGTTTGAAGTAATTAATCGAGAACGGGCACTTATTAGCGTTTTAAATGTTGAACGTGTGGGAGGGTATTTAAGGGAGGGTAATTATTTTTTTCTTATTAGAGGGTGTAATTAATAGCAGGTATCGAGGTAGTTAATCAGTAAAATACTCATTAAAAAATATTTTGAAATAATTAAAATTAAATTAAACCCTTCCTCAAGTTTATTTTAAAAATTAAAAGAGTTGGAGGAAGACATACATACCTATTTTATTTTAAAGTTTATTTTTGATTGGTTTGGAATTTTATTTTGAAGAATTTAAAATAAAATAAACTAATTAATCATCTTTTTAAAATAATTTTTATTACAAAAAGTTTTTTTAAACTTTTTTTCTTTTCTTCTGACGCGCATAAAATTGATGAATTGGTCATTTCTGGCAAATAACCTCTTGGACAATAAATTAGAAAAAGAGAAAAACAAGGGGGAGAAATTGTCCTAGCAGTGGTTGACAACAACAAAACAACACACGTTTTTATTTGTTAACCCAAAAATGATTTATTTTTGCTTTGGGGATCGGGAAGAGGGTAAAAGGAAGACTTGGAGGGTGGAGGGTCATTGGAGGGTTTGGAGGGTCATTTCACCGAATTGACTTTGAAAAAATATTTTTTTCCCTTTGACAAACTTTGGGTCAAACTTAGATTTCATTAGATAGATATACTTCTGATGTTTCAGTGCCTGTCCTAAGAAAGACGTCATGCAAGAAGAGACGAGCTTCTCGATAAGAAATCTTCAACATTTAAAATTCGGTGAAAAGTATGTCTGCGAATTGTCCCAATAATTTAATAGAAAGAATTGTTGAGGCTATTTTTTGTCAACTACTACCTCCAAGTATCCACCAAACAGCTGCATCTTTTTTATCCACTTTTTGCTGTCATAAAATTTGGTTTTTGGAAGAATTTTGGAAGTGTATTTTGAGTAAAAAACCAAAAGGGAATTAAATGACCTTTTGGAGGTGTTGGACATTGAAAGGAAGTCTGTGGACTTTTTGTGGAGTTTTTTTATGTCCGAGATAAAAAACGAATAAAAAGACGTTAAAAAGGACAAAATGACCGAGAGTTTTTTCTATAAAGAAAAGTATTTGGGGATTATCCTCTCTAGGGGATAATCCTTTCCTTGAGGGGGTATGTGGCCGTCCTGAAATTTTTTTTTGCATTTTTTGGGTAATTTAAAATGGAAAAAATTTTTTCAATTGGAAAAATATCTAACTTAAATTCTTTTTGAATTTCTGTAAATTAAGAAAACAAAAATTTTATTGAGAAAATTTGTGGGAATCTAGCAGAAATTAAGAATCAAAAATTTTACAATTTCTAATATTTAGTCAGCCTTATTTTTCTAAAACAACTTCCTAGACCAACAAAGTTTATGTACACTGATTAAGGGGCCAGCGACTGATCAAATTCCGACCGGCGACTTTTTTACTTCCGACTTTTATCAACATTTTGTATTTCTAAGCAGACTTCTGATACATATTAACCCCAATTAGAGAAGGGTTGGGATAATTGATAGTGGTGGAAATTAGCGGTAGGCAACGAGATTTTCCGGTTACGATACCGGTAGTACCGTAATAACGAAAAGTACCGGTCCGGTACTGACAGGTAGTACTCCGGTAGTACCGAACTGTGTCTAACACCAGTGGAAATTGTATCCGACTTTCTAACTCTATATCTATTTTATTTTCGTTATGTAAAAATAATTATTTTAATTCACACATTTCTATTAATCCATTCATAAAAAAAGGCACCCAAAAACCAGCAGGTCTTTAAGCCTTCCAACAAAATAATAATAATAACCTTTCTAATCTCGCGCAAAATGATTGATGGATGATGGATGTATTTTTTAGTCTATATTTTGACATCCCCCCCTCCCCCACAATCTTTTTTTCTAATTTTCACCACTCTCCTCCTTTCTTTATTTCTAAAGAATATTTTCAACTCTTCATCATCATCATTATTGGCTTACTTCCAAATTTGCTTTTTATGGGGGAAAGTCTGGTTAAGTGAAAAATGTCAGAAATAGGCCGAGGATTTTGAAATTTCGAAGAAAAAGAAATAAAAAGACCACCCAAAATGGCAAGAAAAATGAAAGAGAAAAAGCAATTTGTGGAGGGAAATGTTGTTAAAAATAAGGGAGGAAATAAGAAAATGAATAGTTAAATCCCTTACGGCATTAAAAATGTAAAATGAAATTGAGTAGAATAAATATTAATTTTTTGGGTTTTTTGTTGTTGAAATTTTTGTGTTAAATTGGAAAGGGGAAAATATTTAAATGTTTTTTTTTGTTAAAACTTTGAACAAGTTTTGAGTCAAAGTGGGGATAAAAAGGGTATTGAATAGGTTAAGTGTTTAAAATTTTCCTTTTGATTTTAATTTTTGATAAAAATTCTGATTTTAAATAAATAAAATTGAATTTATTTAATTTTTCTTTTAGGAGACTACTAGAAATTTTGAAAAAAAAAATTATTAAAAAACGAAAAATTAGGGGCTTCCTCTGCGGACGTTTTTTGCGGCCTTTTCCTTCTATTTTTCAAAACCTCTATTTTCCCAAAAATATTGAAAGGAAAATTAATTTAAATAATTTTTGTAAACTCTTCCCTTCAGGGACCCACGCAGTTGCAGATTGCGTAAAATTGCGTGTTTTTTGACTTACGGGTTGCGGATGCAGAAAATTTTTTTCTGTTGCGTGCAGCCCTGCTTCCTTAATCCCTCTAAATTAATTTAAATTTATTTTCACCCAATTCTTTATTTAATTATATTCCCTTTTTATATTTAAATGGAACACTCAACAATTCCTTTCAAATATTTTAAATTTTCAAGTCCTTAGGGAAAAACTTTAAAAATAAATTTCTTTTATTTTCAACAGTATTGCGCGCACTAAAGCAAGCATTCTAGGCCAATTCATCCCCCAAGGCAATTTAAAAATCTCAACAAGATTTTCTCTTCAAATAAATTTCATTTTTGAGTAATTTATATAAATGGGAGGGAAAAAATATTTTAAAATTTTTTACAAAATTTGTAAAATAAAAAGGATGGAAAATTAAGAAAATTAGTGATTGATTTACAGCTTTTTTTTAAAAAATTAAAATTTAAATTGAATTCTCCATGTTCTTGGTACTTTTAGATATAGAATTAAATACACTACATGATTTCAAAAAATCAAAATTCTCGGCTGGTTGGTAAAAAAGTTGTGATTTAAAAACTAAATTTTTCAAGAGAATGTGATTCTTCGGCATTCTATCGATCATAACTTTTTACCAGTTAGTCAAGAATTTTTTTCGGTAGCTTAGAGAAAGTAAAAGATGTAAGAAAAAAAACAAATAAGGGGAAGATAACGAAAAAATTCCCGTAATTAATTAATTTTGTTTTTTTGATCTTGGGTTGGACACCAAATTTTTATTTTTTTAGACAGAATTATCTCATTCCCTTCAACTTCTCGGTGCTAAAGTACGACAGGCTACCGAAGAAATTGGTGGACTTAAACGGTTACAAACTCGAATTGATGTAAATAAATAAAAATAAAATTGTTATTAAAGTGGGATTGGGGAGAGAGCAGGCCAGTATACCGCCGAGCTTTAACTTTGTTCAAAATTGTCGAATCCGGGAGACCTTTTCATTTTCCTTCTAATAACTTGATCACTATCCTTGACCCAGAAGTGTTTTTGAACCAAAATAATCTTCGAAAATTGAAGGGAAAAAATTCAAAAATATCGAAAATCTAAAGAAAAACGTAATTTCGGAACAGCTCTGCTGGCAACCTTCTCTTAAGGTGTTGAGTGTTAACACTAAAATGGCGGAATCAAAAGTCCAAAAATTATCCCGTTTCTTATAACTTTCTTTTTTTCAAAGGAAAATTGTTGTGAATTTCAACGTGGAGTTGAAAGTCAATTAGACCAATTAGAAGAATTATTACGTTTAAGAAGACAACAATTAATTAATTATATTAAAAACGAAAAGGAAAGAAGAAAATTACAACTTTTAAAACAAATTGGGCGGTCAACAGCTCAACTGGGGAAAGGAAGGGCTTTGATTCAATTTTGTATTGAAATATTAAAAGAACCGGAACCTTTGGATTATTTACAGGCAAATTTCTTGTTAAATAGTTTTTATGTGGAAGGAAGGGTCCTTTTTAAATTTGTGGTTCTTTTTGGTATGAGAAGTGATACTTAGTTCCTTGCATGTATTATTTGTATCGTATAGTAGAACATTTTGGGAGTCCGTAAATTATAAAAATATGTCGTTAATTTATAAATTATATCTTTAATTTATCATTAAAAAACTTTTTTTTAACCTTTCCTCAAGAAAGGGATGGAATTTGATCCTGAAAACTCTTCGAAGTTAATATCTTCCTCAACTATAAACTACTCTACCGATTGAGAGTTTGTAAGGAGGGTTGGGAGCCCAGTTCGGTCGGGCATCGAATTTTGGTCCGAAAAAGATTCGGTCGGTCTGATCCGATAAAAATGACTCGAATGTCGGCCCGGTTCGAAAAACCCAACTCTAGTTGTAAAGCCAATTATTGTTGTAAGGCCAAGAAGAACTTCGCTGGCCTACAACATCTGTCTTGTACAGAAACTAATTTTGCTAACATAAAATCTCGAATTGAAGTATAAGAAATAATTTATTCAGGTTAAGCGAAAAATTCAGGTTAAAAAATCTGGAATAAATTTTCTTCTAGATAGAGCCAAAAATTCAAATTAAAAAATATTTAGGTTGGCTCAGCCTTAGCAAATAGAGTAACCGATCAAGAATTTCTTTGGCACAGAGAAGTAAAAACAAATTGTCCAGAAGTTGACGAACATTTCCAACTTGATTTGGATATTTTAAATGTTAAAACAGCTATAGAACAATTGGAGTTTTTGCAACTTAAAGGTGAGGGAAAAAAAAGAAAATTTCTAAGTTAGAATTCCATATATCGTTAGTTGACATAGGAATGGTCCTGTCGCATTTTAAAAATGAACAGACTTTATGGAAACCGTAAGAGAGTCCATTCCTGGTATTTAAGTATGGAAATTATTTAATAATAAGAATACAGATTCCTACTAATAAAGAAAAAATTCTGGAAATTTTTATTAATATCAGATAAAAACAGTAAAGAAACAAGCAATAAAGGTTAGTGGAAGGATGAAATGTCTTGTGTAGTTAATTTCAATAGAACCTTCACTTTCAGATAACCCTTTCGAAGCTGGAGAAATCCTACCTTAAAATGAAGTGGTTATGGGAAGTACCGCTTAGACAGCCAAGTATCCCTTAGACATTTTGTAGTTAATTTTAGGGGTATCTAAAAGTGAAGTTTATTGGTATTATTTGTTTTGTTTTGTGTTTAGTCGGGTTTTTTTTGTTTTTGTATTAAAGTCAGTTAGTGTATGTTAAGACCTTTATCCTTCTTCTCAAAATTTCCAAAAATTTAATTTTCTCTCTCTTTTCTCAGCCCCTTTACCCCCACAATTTCTTGCTGAAGAATGTTCTGCCGAAAATAATTCTGTCACCCTAAGTTGGGTTTGTCAGCTAAATGGGGCTTCTATTGAAGGTTTTGTTCTTGAATTAGACTCTGGTGATGATAATTTTGAAGTATTTTTTGTTTAAAAAATTGTTCAAAAAATTAAAAAAAAAGGAAGTTTATTGTGGGCAAGAATATGCTTGTTCTGTTGATGGATTACATTTCAATACTTTTTACAATGCGAGATTAAAAGCTTTTAATGCTGCAGGGGAAAGTGCTTATAGTGAACAAATTTGTTTGCAGACTGCTCCAGGTGAAGTTTCTATGTCTTTATTCCGGGAAATTGCCTCAGGCAATATTTGGATGGAGGGGATATTGGAAAATGTTGGATAAGTAGAAAATTGATGAAGATAATAGAAGGTTCTGTGTGGATATAAAAAGTAAAGTTTCACCGGAAGTTCCGGTTCCGGAAAGTTCCGATGTTTTTTTGGTTCCGGTTCCGGGTCGGAACTTAGAAAAGTTCCGGTTCTAGGATCCGGAACTCAAATTGGATCCGGTTCTAGTCAAAATTTCGGTTCCAATGAAACACTAATGAAGAGGTTCTGGTATATCTTAAATATACCCTTACACTAATAGATAGGCACTCTCTAATAGACGCACACTTTGAAGTTGTAACCATGTGTAGTCTATTAGATAAACAAAAATATTAATTTCTAGTTGCCTGGTTTCAACTTAGCGAAGATAATTCAACTGAAAATTCTAATGAACAACAACAAGCTATGAGAGAGATTCGCTCACAAAGTGTTGGGGGAATAGTTAATTCTGAATTGTTGTTATCTAATAATTGCTGTACAGTTACTGGAACGGTACTCATTTTTAGATAAATTTTAAAATATTTTTAATGAAGAAAGCTAAATATTTCTAATTAAACTAACAATAAGTCTGAGGATCGTCATCTCGAAAATTTTCGAGCTTTTCGAACAATACCCTGTCTCTTCTGATTTTTAGATTAACAAATTCCCTCCATACTATTCAAAGCTCTCTCTCTTTTAGTCTCTCAACCTTTCGAAACTTAAATATTCTTAATTTCCCCTCCTAGAGTATGGAATATCGAACAATTTTGGGTACAGTAACATTCTCAAAAGGAGTTCATTATTGGGAGGTTAGTGTGGACAGATATGATGGAAATGCTGATATTGTTTGTATTTTTTATTTAAAAATCTAATAATTTTTTAAAAAAAGGTTATTGGAGTAGCCCAACCATCGGTGAATAGACATGCAATGCTTGGTAATTGAGATACTTTTTGTTGAAAAAATTAATTTTTAAAAATATTCTTTTAGGTAAAGATTTAAATGGTTGGAGTATGTATGTAGATGGAGAGCGGTCTTGGTTAGAAGAAAAATTTTTTGTGATTCAAAAAAATTTCTTTTTAAAGGTTTTTCCATAACGATACACACCACGGAAGAATGAGTGGAGGTGTTAATGTTTGTGACTCCTTAATTGGAGTGTTAATGGATTGTGATAGGGGAACCCTTAGTTTTGCAATAAATGAAAGGCCTATTTGTATAGATGCTTTTAAGTAGGTTTTAGGGAAATTTGAAATGTTGCGGGGAGTAGTTAGTCCAACCCCCGTGTCGCTGGGGGCAGAGGGAATTGTGCCGGCAGAAGGAATGATGCCGGATGTCCCTAAGCCTTTAAGTTGACTTTACTTGGTAGACTAATTACATGGAATTAACTAGAGATTATTTACACGGACCCCTCTGCCCCCAGCGACACGGGGGTTGGACTAACTACTGCGCGGATTTTTGAGAGATTAAACAAACTCTTGGGAAAAGTGAAAATTTCGTAAATTCGATTATTCTTGGGGCAGTCATTTTCTGATAATTTTTGAGGACCTAAGGGAGTGGATCATAATAGATCTTTCATTGAAGAGGACTATATCCCACTGACGGTATATAGAAAGTTTGGATATTTTACCTCAATAATATCTGATAAAAAATTTTTTTAATGAATTTTTTAATTCCAGAAATATGCCTCGAGGTCTATACTGTCCAGCCTTTAGTGTCAATTGTAAATCAACAATTACTATACATAGTGGACTTAAAGTTCCTGAAATATTTACACACATTCACTGATTTTATTTTAATTATTAAATGATTTTTTTAATTTTAAAAAGCTTTGTATTTATATGCAAGAAAAGTTACTTTTGTAAATTTCTAAATAAATAAAGTTGTAAAAATAAATTTTTTTGTTATATAACTATGGAATTGAATAATTAATTTGAGAAAATGAATTTAGAGGGGATAGAAAATTAATAATATTAATTACTAGGTAGGTATTAAAGCTTCGCCGGAAGTTCCGTTCCAGTAGGAATCGGAAGTTCCAGGATTTACTGGTTCCGGTACCGGTCCTTCGGTTCCGGCCCGGGACCAAAAAAAATTTTATCAATATGTAGATTTTACATTTAAAAAAATTTGCCTCCAAATCTTAATATTTATTAAATTATTACCTTATTTTCCCTAAAACATTTTTCCCATTTTCTTCTTTTTTACTTCACCGATTAATTCAAAAATTTCTTTTTACTTAACCGCCATTCCACCTCATTATTTAAATACATACTTATATTTCTAATCTTATCCCCGCCTTATTTGTCTATATATAAGGTTCTAGCTTATTCTTCACCTTATATTCAACTTATCTTTAATTAAAATAAACTTTTATGTCTTAAGAAGGGTGCCGTATTTTGATTTTCTGTGTATACCATAATTCTAGGGTCTCTATCCCCTTCAATCACACTAAATCCACCGATATCCCCTTATTCCCTCCAAATCCCTTGATATTTTCTTTTGATATTCGCTTTCAAAAGGTGTAGGTCTTCTGGGTCACTAGGTCTTCTGTGTAGGTTTTTTGGGTTCAACCCGTCTTAAATAGAACCTTGAAGCTACATAACTAGCCCGCTTCGCGGGCTAGTTATGTAGCGTTTACGTTACTTTATATTTAGTAACTATGCTTTATCTAAAATGGATAAGCCTTGGCTGTAGAAAAGTGACCCTATGGGCGTTGGAACCTAAGCCTTGCCCGTTAGGGCCTTCGGCCCAAACTTCGTCCGCTCCGCGGCCGAATGGGCGCTGCGCGCCCATGGAGGCGCGAAGCCGTTGAAGGGTTTTGTTACGATGCTTTGCCTTCAGGGGCTGCCTCTAGCCGCTTCGCAGGATGCAAAAATTGAAATTTGCAGAATTTTAAATGTTCGGACTCAAGTGTCCAACTATAAAAATTTAATAAAATTGCTTTGCAATCACTCACATGCCCGCTCCGCGGTACCACACATGCCTACAACTCATTCTGGCAAAATTTTTTTTGAGACTCAAGTGACCCCTCTGAAAAATTTTTTTCAAACTTAACTCTCATATGGCTATCGATTAAATACACGCTCGACATATAAAACATTCTGTGTAGTACTGCTACCGGGGACAGTTCTCGGACTTTGCCGTTTTTTGGTCGAGGAAATGGAATTTTTGACTTTTCTGTGGACCATAACTCGGTCGACAGAATTTCAACAGCAATGCATGATAGCTCATTCGACGGAGCTCGGCGAGCTCTATAAGAATACCTGTATGCCTATTCCCTCAATTTCAACTTCCAGATGTTAAAGTCGAAAAACGGAAATTTTTCGACCCCGAAAACATATTTTCGGGAAATAACTTTTTTTTAATTCGGGAACCCTAGACAAGCGATATATCATTCGACGCGTATTCGAACGCTCTTTCATCTGGCACCTTAATTTCCATTTTGTCCCACCTTTCCACAAAGTTAGGCCCATGTGACATTTTGTCGCAAAAGAGGTAGTGCGTTATTCTAACCGTATCTCCTCCGGGGGGACTTATCGCACAGGGGCATGCGATATGTCATTCGACGCAGCTTGAACCCGTCCAGGCGAATGTCTTTGTTTTGGTTCAATTCTACCCCAAACCTGATGTCGAAAATTCAGGTCGAAAAGTTCGACCCGAAATTTCGACCCTTAGTAGAGTGCGCCACGATTCGGACAAAACTGATTCTAGACCTACTCGACACGCTCTATTTAATGAAAAAGATCCGGAGAAAATCGGACCACTTTGAAAAATTCGAAATTTTTCGACTTTATACGTTTTTCGACATTTCGACATAGAGGTCTAAATTTTCTTCACCTTATATTCAACTTATCTTTAATTAAAATAAACTTTTATGTCTAAATGGTGCCGTATTTTGATTTTCTGTGTATACCATAATTCTAGGGTCTCTATCCCCTTCAATCACACTAAATCCACCGATATCCCCTTATTCCCTCCAAATCCCTTGATATTTTCTTTTGATATTCGCTTTCAAAAGGTGTAGGTCTTCTGGGTCACTAGGTCTTCTGTGTAGGTTTTTTGGGTTCAACCCGTCTTAAATAGAACCTTGAATATGTCTCAATTAAATTTTAGAGAAAATTAGTGTGATATAACGAGAGATTGCCTGTATTTACATTTAATTAGAAGAATGTTCTTCCAAATTAAATTTATTTTATTCTTTATAATCGCTTCATCATTTTTATTCAACTCGGCTGGATGTGGGTTTATGTGTTTTGCAACCTGCCAAGCAGCTGCTACATTTGCTTGTTCTCAAACTTATTTTTATTTCGGCCCGTGTTATGTTGCTTTTTATGTAAATATTTTAAAAAATATTGCCAACGGCGATAGGAATTTTGGAAGGAAGGAAAAGGGCAGAACATAAAACGTATTTTTACCGTTAAGTGAAAGTTGGGCTATTAACTGTCAAGGGTTGAGAAGAAAGTGTGGTGGGTTTTTGAAAATTTCTCGGATCATGTTTTGGGTCGAACCGTTTAGGGTATCGTATTTCGGATAACCCGAAATTTTTTTTGAAATTTTCAGGCCGCTTGTGGAGTCATTTTAACTGGTCCAGCAAGTTATGAAGCATGTTTATCAGCAGCTACAGCAGAGTGCACTGCTACAGGTCCTGTCTACCCACTTTGTTATGCTGCTGCGGAGGTGGCATGTGCGTGTATTTTTTTGGGAAATGAATAAGGAAGAACAATAAAAGGGAGTAATTTAAGTTAAAACTAGAATTGTTGGCAACTAGTTATTTGAAAGAACACTGAAAATTTTGATATTTTTTGCCAAAAATAAAGTTTTTATGAGATTTAAGAAAACGAAAACGAAACAACTAACCGGTTGTCAATAACTCTAGTTAAAACAAATTTAAATGTTTGATTTTCATATCTAAATTAAATACAATTTACTTTAATTCAACTTTTACATTTTTTATTATTAAAAATTTTTAAAATTTAATAATCTTTTATTTTTGCTTTTAGCCTGAGAACGAATGAGTATAATAAAGATTTTAATTTTTTGATTTAATAAGGCAAAAATTGGGAGAAAATAAAATTATTAAAATTCAAAAATAAGTACCCTAAGTATACATACTTTCATACGAATCGAAGGAGATTGACATTTTATAAAATTGTAAACAAAAACAATTGACTATCTAATAGATAGCTCCTCCTCCCTCCTCTTCTTCCTTGTTATATAAAAACAACTACTAATTCAGTCCAGTACACACTTTGACCTAACACTAGTATTTTTTATTTATTGATAAAGGCAACTAAAAAATGCTACAATATTTTCCTTTGTTGACTAAGGCATGATTAATTCCCTGCTACCTTTTCTTATACTAAACGTTCCCTAAATGCTTGTAAATACATGCAAACTTCACAAGCAAAATTTCAGACGTTATCGATAATTTTTAATTTTTGATTGATAGAATCCCTTAATTTTGTGGTGGAATTATTGCCTTAAATTTTGTGGTTGTTTATACCTGTTTATTTTTTTTAAGGAACAAAGTCTGAAAAAAATCTTAATTATCAACACTCAAATTTTTTATAAAAATGTTCTTCCAAATTAAATTTATTTTATTCTTTTTATTTGCCTCATCATTTTTATTCAACTCAGCAGGAGGCGGTTTGGCCTGTTATGCGGCTTGTCAGGCTGCCGCGGCTGCTGCATGTGTTCCTACTCTTTTCTTTTTTGGACCGTGCTACGCGGCGTTTCAGGCACTTTAAATTTTTTGAAATTTTTATTAAATTAGAAATTTTTTTCTAAATTTTCAGGCCGCTTGTGCGGTTGTTTTGGCTGGCCCTGTAGCCTATCCAGCTTGTCAAGCTGCAGCAGCAGCTGCTTGTGGTGCAACTGGTCCAGTCTTTCCGGTGTGTTATGCAGCAGCGCAAGTGGCGTGTGCTTGTATTTTATTGTGAAAAAGACGAATATTTTTTGGTGAAGGAAGGGATTTGTTTGAAAGAAAATATTAAAGATCTTCTGATTTATACTTAAATTTTCTGTACATTTACCTATTTATTTTTTTTTTTTGCTTATAAAAAGTTTTTCTTAAATTTATTTAATTCTTCAAATTTTAAACCCTTCAATTTATTTTACAATATTATGTGTTAATTATACAATTCTATCACCTTTCACAAAAAATACAAAAAAAAAGAAAATTAGATGCAAAATTTTGTGGAGAAAGAGCACTTTGACGAAAATATTTTTTTCTGTTTATTTCCAAAAATATTCTAAAAGATTACAGAAAAATCTTTTTAAAAGCAAAATATTTTCGTTTAAATCACAACATGATAAACTTCTAAAAAATAAAAAAAAATATCCCTTTCCAAAAAAATTATTACAAAATTTAAAACTAATTAGATAATGTAAATAAAGGAAAATTTCTAAAATGAGATTTTAATTTTTTTAAAAGGAAAAACAAACTTAATAAGGTTGGATGATCTATCACTTATCACACATTTGAAATGAAAAAAAAATATTTTTTCTTAAAACTAAAAGGAGTTAGTTAATTTTAAGATATGTATATTGGAAGTGTGATAAGTGAGAGAGACTTATATATTCACTCAGAAAATCATTTAATTATAGGAGCATGTTAAAATACTTATTGTTAGTATGGGAAATGTTTTTTAAAGAATTTTAACTAGAAAATTATCGAGAAATGTTTTTTATCGAAAAATAGCCAATCCTACTCTAGACTTTTTATAATGTTTCCTAACTCTCTAATTGATAAAATATTCCCAGCTTTCATTTTCTGAGTAAATTAACTTTAAATATAAATTTTCTACATTTCTAATTCCCCTAAAAATTAATTGGCAGTTTTTATGTATTCTTCTTCTTATGTTAATTTCACAAAATATTTAATTTAATTGTCAGTTAAAGTAGTAGAAGTACACGGTTCTGATAATTGTTTTTTATGTCCATTTTTATCTTCATTTTTGTTGTTACTTTGTTTTTGTTCATTTTCATTATTAACACAGACTTTTTCTTGTTCTTCATTTTCCATTTTTATTGTTAAATTTGGTGTACTAGCTAATAAAAGTTTATTTTTTTCTAATAAATTTTCTTCTTTTTTATTAGTAGAAGAGGAATCTTTTGGTGATAAAAGCGGTGAAGGTTTACGTAAAACAGAACGTCTAGCAGTACTTGGGGAATGTGAAGTACGTCGCATAATTGAACTAGAGCCTGGTGAATATTGAATAAAACTGTTGCTGCTTCCATGTGAATACTTTTTAAAAAGAAAATTAGTTACTTTGATTAAAAGATAAGAGGGGGAGGGGGAAATCATGCCATTCTCTTTCCCAGGCCCGTATCATAAGAACGTAGTTGCTGGTTAAATAACACCAACCGCCGGTTTGGTACTTGTGGGTTATCTCATACCAGTTTTTGCGGACAAATTTATGCGGACATTTTTGTAAAGAATGGTCAGTCTTTCTTTCTTCCTTGGTTTCACTTAATTTTCTCTGTGGCAATATTCAATGAATGCACAACGTCATACAAAATGTTGGGGTGGGGGGATGGGTGTACCATTAATTCAATTCACAATATGCTAACTTGTTGCCATAAAATCATTTTGGGAATATAAGCTTACACAACCAGAGTTCTGGTACACAAGCACAATCCGGACCATTGATTCTAAAATGAAGAGCTTGGTCCTATCGCCATAGAAAGGATTGTAACACACATTAAGAAGACCATTTTTGCATCTCTTGGAACGAAAGGGGGGATGGGGTACGAATGTTTTGAGTAAAAATTGATCGATCATTAGTTCTAAAACGCAGATCCAGGTACTTATTGCCATTTAAATAACAGAACTAAATCAAAATAAAATTATGCATTGATTCAAATGTTAATTTATATTTTGGTGAGATTGGGAAGGAAAATTAATCTTTTCTTTGTTGATGTGTTTTATTGAATGAGAGAGGGAATAAATAGAGGATCTGTTTCTCATTGAATATTGCCACAGAGCAAATTGAGTGAAACCGAGGAAGAAAGAAAGACTGACCATTCTTTACAAAAATGTCCGCATAAATTTGTCCGCAAAAACTGGTATAAGATAACCCAAAAGTAGCATAAGACGATATATATGGTCAGGTAACCATATATGGTCAGGTAACCGATATGGGCCAGATAAATAATAAAAAAAATTTCACCAATTTGTTACCAACACAAGAGAATCTACAACTTGTGCCAACAAAAAATAAATGGTCCTATTACCCTTCATGTTTTCAAAAAATCTTTTTCCTAAAGATTACCCTTTCCTCTAAAAAAACACTTAAAAATCTGTAATTATCATTTACCTTCTTTTTAGCCTTTTCCAAATTTTCCAATTCAATATGTTCAATATTTAATTCAATTTGTCCCAAAGACTTTCCACTATTTATTAAATTTCTATTTGGTGCCATTCTTTGACCAGAAATTTGTTTTACTTTTAAAGACCCTCCTCCCCCTCCACAAGTTAATAATTTTGAATTTTTTGTTTCTAAATTTGTTTTTGTAGTTATTACATCTCCTTTATTTCCAATTAATGAAGCTTTTGTTGAAATTTGCTGGGGAGGAGGAGAAATAAATGAAGAGATATCTGTATTTGTTGATTGTAAAGGGCCATTAATTGCTTCAAAGAGAGTTAAAGGTTCACGTCTTAAAAGGGAAAATTTTTTTTAATTAGTTAAAAATTTTTGGGGATTTTCGGGTGAAGACTAGAGGTGATTTGGAACAGTAAGAGGTGTCGAAAATCGGAAGAGCCGGAAATCTGAACTGGCTCTAAAGTCAAAACTCGGAATTCCGACCCAACTCTGGTGAAGACTAACAAGATTTTTCACTACAAATTTGTTAAATGCTTGCCAAAATACCAAGGTTAGGTCTTGGATAGTGCAAACTTCTCTAGTCTAAAACCCCGTTTTATTTCAATTTTTTCAGATGAAACTAGAAATAAAATTATTAAAATAATGATTGAGTTTTGGACAGACAATAATTAAAACTAAAAAAATTTCTTTTAAATAAATTTTGTTGAAGTTCTAACCTAATTCTCATTGTAGAAGACATTCCATCAGAACCAAGTCCTATTAGACTACTTCTCATCGCTCTTATTTTTAAAAGAGCTTTGAATGGTGAACGACAAATTGGGCAATTATTTAACTAAATATTAAGAGAAAATAAAATTATTAAAATTAAAAATTCCCAACTTTATATCTCAAAGTTTCTGCACATCCATTACAAATACATAAATGTCGACAAGGCAAAATCATTGTATCACGTGGATTTGCCTGTTTATTTAGAAAAAATTTTTTAAATAAAATCAAAAAAAAAAATTTAATCTTTTCATACCATACAAATAATACATTCGGCCCCATTTTCTTCAGCCATTAAACTACTTTCACCATTTTCTTTATTTTCAATTCCAAAAATTTCTTGAAGTAAATAAACAATTCCATTCGCAAATAATTTTTGTTTTAAAGGTTTGAGAATTAATGCGGCTGATTGATCTGTTGAGCGTTCTATTGAGCATAATGTTGATTGGACCTAAAAAAGGAATTTATGAAAAGGAATCCAAAGTTAAAAGTTGCAATGACATCTAAAATAGAAACCTTTAAATTTCGAATTCTGGATCATGATATAGGGGTCTTATTTTTAAGAGGACCAACAAGGCCGGGGGTAATTCTTCAAATGACGCCCTCCTCTCTTTTTATGTTTCCTTGACAAAAAAAGGGGGCGTCATCCAAAGAATTACCAGGTCGAGTTCTAGGGATGCCTTGAAAATTTTGGATATTGTTCGGTTTTAGCCAAAACTTCAAGCAAAAATTAAAAAAAACCTGTTCTTGAAATTTATCAGAAACAGAACGCATTTCAATCAAAACAGGAAAATAAGCAGAAGTTCCATCCCAATGCATGTATTTTAAATCATAACGATGAGGTTTAAATATAAAATGGTTAAATTGTTGATTTGAACCAACAGGGAAGTGATAACGTTCTGAAGGGTCAATTCTTTGATTTGGTCGACAAAAAAACCTAAAATTGAATAAATTGGAGGGTTCAGAAAATTTAAAAGAATTTACTGAATTTGTTGAAAATCGTCAACAACTTCTCTTGAACAAAAATGAATTTGCACATAACAAGGGACATCACAGTCAAAAGTAAATTCTAAACGGTAAAATCCAGAAGAATATCCACCTCCTGACCTTCCAACTCTTTAAAATTAAAAATGAGTAGAAAAATAAAAATTGAAAGAAAATACTTTGTGAATTTGACAGAATCTCTGCGGACATTAATCAAAGCATTTAGAACACTAACAGAGTCAGTCACACCTTTTGGGCAATGAGGGAACTGAAAAATATTATTAATGGAGTAATTTTTAGACGTGAAAGATGGATGTAAATTTGAATAGGGGAAACGTTAATAATAGAATGGAGATTAAACTGACATGAGAGCGCAAGCCCAAAAAGAATTAGGACAGTCAGAAATTTTAGTTAATGGACAAACTAAAAACTTAAAAGTTTTGAGTTAATCTTTCAAGAGTGTGCAAATGACCAAACCAAAAAAATGGCGGTCAAACATTTCCTTATTATTAATTCCTGGCTAATCAAAAACTTAAAGTTCCTCTACAAAAATGCGGACAGGACCAAACCACTAACAATAAATTAAAAATACAAACCTTTACAGGTCTACCATCGAGTAGTTCAAGATCCTGTTGAGCACCAAAAAGAAAGACTTCTTGTTTTGATGTGTCGTACAATTCCCCGCCCATTAGAAAATGATTGCCAAAAAAGCTAGTATTTCCTCCTCCTTGACTTGTACATCCTTTACCGCTAAATTCATCGCCAATGTGTTCATCAACAATTACACCACCAACCCCAGGATTGTTAACATTTCGTCGTTGTTGTCTTCCTATGAGAGGTAGGTTTGCTGGTAAGTAGGTATTAAGGAGGGAAAAGAGCCGAGAAACGGATTGGCCCATCAACTAGGTTAAAATTCTAAATAAAAATTAAAATAACATTCAAAATTAAAGAAATATATAAATCGTAAAACGACGAAAAAACAGTCAAAAATATTAAATTTATAATGAAAAAGGTTGAAACGGATGTCAAATATTGTCTTCGATCTTAAAATCTCAGGCAGTTCACTCGCACAGCTTTAAAATTAAAAATAATTTAAAAAAAAATATTTTTTGTCTCAGGTCTGTGCAGCCACATAACTCTAGAATGACTTATGCAACGAATAGACCTGAGATTAATTATTTTGGAGAAGAGTTACGCTTACGCAAATAAAATAACGCAAGGTCTTTGAATTCTCCAAATTTGCATTTAATTAATACAACAAACCATTAAAAAGCAAACGGAAGTGAACTTGAGTAATTGAGATTTAAACCACTACACCACAGAGACATTCACACAAATTAAGGTAAAATTGATATACATAGAACAAAATTGAAGTTTCATTCCGACCATTCAATCTAAAAAAATCCAAAACTTAATAAAAGTTAAAAATTAAATAGCAAAATTTGTAAAAGCTGACTAATTAAAAATTAACAAAAAATGCGCATTAAATAAATCGATCATTTTTATTAGATTTTTTGTAAGGCTATCAAAGGAAGGAATGTCAAAATGGTAAAACTTTAATTTCCAAAAAAGTTCCCCTTCAAAATTGTAGTTTCCGTTATTGCACGTTTTTATAAATTAAACAATTTTTAGAAAATAAAAATGATTGAAATTACAATAAATGACAGGCTTGGAAAGAAAGTTCGAATTAAATGCAACCCTACCGACACAATTGGAGATTTAAAGAAATTAGTTGCTGCACAAACTGGAACTAGGTAATATTTAAAAATTTTTTCTTAAAAATTATTTAAATTTTTTAGAGCAGACAAGCTAGTTTTGAAAAAATGGTATACAACATACAAGGACCACATTACACTCCAAGACTATGAAATACATGATGGTTTTAATTTTGAATTGTATTATCAATAAATTTGGGTGTGTTGAATTGTTGAAAATTGAATGAGGGAAAACGGTGTTTTCTAATCTGCCAATATTTTAACGTTTTTATTTATAAAAAAATTTTTTTTCGTCATTAAATATAAAATTTTTCTAAAAATATAATTATGAAATTTAAAAAATTTTTTTTTGTTATTTAGACAAAAAATAGGCAAAATCCAAATTAATTAGAAAATTTTTATCAAAGTGTAAATATATGTATATCAATCAATCATTTTTTATATATTTTAAACAAAAATTGGAATTTAATTACAATATTAAAATCATTTTTAGTTGAAAATTGGGGGATTAGAACTGGATTGGAATTAATTGTTCCTATTAGAGATAGGAAATTTAAAAAAAAACCCTGAAAAAATATTGATTCCTGATTTTGAACGAGATCTTGACCAGCTTCCTGACCTTAGTGTTAAGTCAAGGAAGAAAAATCAAGGTCTGAATCCAAATCCAGGCCGGTCTTTAATTCCTCAAAAATTAAAATAAATTTAAAACCTCCCACAAAAAAATTAAAAAATTCCAATCCAGTTTCGCTTGTTACAATTTTAAAGAAGAGCCAGAAAAATCACAAAATGGAAAAAAAAATTCCGGGCAAAATAAAATCAAAATTTAGTCAAAATTAGCAAAAAAATAAAATAAATTTAAATTAACCAGAATAAGTGAAGCTATTTTTATCAGTCTCATCAACCACAACCTTTTTCAATAATTCTGGATTGCCCATTCGAGCACGAAGTTCATCGAAGAGAAAAATGGCGAGATTCTCTGTTGTACTAACGATGTTATTGTCTCTTAAATTTATTTTTTGAATATTTCTGTTTAAAAAATTAAAAAAAAAAACCTAAAATAAGCCACATCTTTATCCAAATTTTTATGATCAACAAGTTCAAGCACTTGAGAGATTTCACGTTTGAGATCCGACAAGTTGTAAACCTACATAAAAAATTAATTGTGAGATCAGCAAATTTCATTAAAATACGAAAAAATATTCTTATGAAGGAAAGGATTAAACAAACACAACTCCTCTCTCGCTACAAAAAATTTTTTAGAAGTAAACAAGTCGGAATGGCTTTTTTGAATTTTCTTTTAACTAAGTATATTCCGTTAAAATCTTTTCATAATTTGACTAGATAATATAATTTTAAATATAGACAGGCGACCCAAAAAGAAAATTTTCAAACTTAATTCGCAATGTTAACTCGGACTAGAAACCCGAGGTTTTACTTACAAACACAGCCCTCTCCCCAACCAAAACCAAAATTCCCAAACTTAATCCGCAAAATTAACTCAAATTATTAAAACAGGGCCTTAATCTTTCTCCCTCACCCAAATTTAATCTCTAAAAAATATCCACAAAAAATAAATCCAAACCATTCCAGTTTCAGCATTTACTGGCCCTTCCAAAACCACTTTTAATTTGTAATTGTGTCCATGTCCATTTGGATTATTACATTTTCCAAATAGTTGATTATTATCTTGAACACTCAATTTTGGATTGTTGAGTCGATGAGCAGCCGAAAAATATTCAATACGGGACAATTTAACGATTTGTTGATTTTCGTTTAATTGATTATCCGTTAAAAGTCCAGTCGAATTATCTGTGTTGTTGTTAATTCCAGTAGCTGACATAACCATAATATCATCCAAAGGATAAATATTTGGATTAAATAAAGTTCTGAGCACTTTAAAAATAATTAAAAAATTCTTTTTAGTTTAAAAAAATATTCTCTTACTATCAGTAATTTTTTCATTATTAGATTGACCATTTTCTTGTTTGCCTGTTGATTGATCGAAAATAGTTGGAGGCTTTTCTTCATTAGTATCAGAGAGAGAATTATCTAAAAAAAATTGGTAAAATCTAAAAAATGGGCACATTTTTTCACTTGTGGAAGAAAGAAAGGGAAGAGGGAGTACAAAGTTCACTTTTTTCCAAAAAATGTTTAGTAATATTTTAAATGAGGTATTTTATTCCATTCTTAACGGAAGCCTAAAAGGGTGACATTTGACTCACAATATCGAAAAACACAATAGGAAATGCTGAAAATTATGATAAATTCTAGTCGGACCCCAAGCCCAAGATTCCAAAAAACCGTTGTTGGACAACTATCTTAACCAAAAATCAGAAACTTTGGGTCGAAATTTACCCATATTTCATAAAATATTATAAAATTCCTTACACTCATGAACATCAGAAAGCGAAGCCTGTGAACGTGCCGGACTCTCAATAGCCACAAAAGAATGATTGCTTTGCTCCAAACATTCAGAAACCGACTTCACAGCAATTTCAAAAGAATTAGTGTCCTGTGGTGCTTTCCTTTTTGGCGCTTTCCATTTAGAAGAATTTTGGTCAGCCTCAAGTTTCTCAGCAAATAAATCTGGATGGCGAGACTTTAAATGACTGCGCAAAATACTTGTTGATTTAGCTGAGGGAAAAAGATTTTTAAAAAATTTTTATAAAAAAATAAACCATTTCCTCGGCTCTTCACCCAATCACAATTTTTACATCCAGCCAAATTCTCATCAAGTTTACTAAACCAATACCACCAAGAAGATTTACATGGAGGTGGTTCAGAGTCTATATCAATTTTGATATCCATAGCTTGATTTTTAAATTTCTAAAAAAATAGAGAGAAATTAGGAAGTGATGAATAGTGAAGCAGAAAAAAAATAAAGGAGAGGGGAGAACACAAAAAAATTTGTTGAAAACGTGGAAGAAAATGATTTCTAACAATAAGCAGAAATAGAATTCATGGTAAAAATACTATTAAGAGAACGTGATCTCTCTTTTAGAATAAATCAGAAAATTTATAGACACAGAATCCGATGCAGTGGAAACTTACTGGGAGTTTTAAGATTAGCCAAGTAACGGCAAGTATTAATTAGTAAAGATGTTATGCTCGCATTTTATAATAATAGATAATCAAGTGAATTCTGATATAAAAAAAGATAGCCCTTCCAGACTAACACAAAAAAAAAACTTCACAAGAAATCAACCAAACCTCTCCACCCGAAAAAACCACTAAAAAACCATCAAAAAGAAACCTTCAAATAATTTCTATAGCACCTCCCCATTGTAGCAGTAGAACATTCTCCCGCTTTTCTCAAATCAATAGGAACACTTTCCCGTGCCAATTTAACAGCTTCTCTAACAGGGAGCGGATTTTCCATACAAGCCTGTTCTTTCAAAATATTTAAAACATCCCTCACAGCTTCGTGTTTTGCAGGGTGATTGTGTTCTCCATTAACTACTACTCCCAATTTAAATTTTTGGCCATCATGGACCAACAAATCTTTTTTTACGTGAATACGGCCTTTGCAGTAAGGCTGTTGATGTACACATCTCCATATTTCTGTGCCTTAAATTTTTGAAAATTTCAAACTGTTCGAAGACTCTTTCGTTAGATGCATCAGAAGCTCGCTTAAGCTTGTATTTCATAGGCTCGGTAAAAGTCTCGTTGGGGGCAAAACGGCCAGGGGTCATCTCTATTTAAAAGATAGGGTCGTCAGAGGCAGACCCAAATCCATGAGTACCTTACTTTTGCAAGTCGAACCAACGCCAACGTTGGCCATGTTACCAAAGTCCAATTTAATAGCACTAGGGCCATTGTCAGCTCGATAAATTTTCTTAATATCAACAAAGGGGGTAGACCAAACCTTTAAATAAACCCAAAAATCTCCTTCCCTACCTTCTTCAATTTTGCTGTCACCTTCAAAACGAAATTCAAAACCATCTCTTCTCAACAATTCCCTCCCTTTAGAGCTTATAGTAAAATTAAATTCAACAAATGTATTTTTTTCCAAAATTTGATCAACTAATTGAGAAAATTGTCCATCTTCATCATTAACTTCCTCTTTGACACTTCCATTGGCAAAAACTTTAACTTCTACAATTTCTGGATTTGAAGTACTTTGAATATTCATTTTTAATTTTTTTTTTTGATAAAAATATTTTTTCAATGGCAAAGGGAAATGAAAGAAAGAAAAACCAGCACACAAAAATTTATTGATTTTTCTGCTCAATTTTCCGCTACCACACTAATTTCTGACCCATTTGAGTAAGTCACCACTGCATAAAATTCTGTGAGAGGTCTATTTCAGCGAATATTCAGCGGGCGCTGTGGAAATGGAAATTCCTTTACTCTAATGGAAAATAGAGAGAAAAAGTGTTCCTCGAATGGGGGAAAATGGAGTCCAAGAAAAAGCTGTCAAAGATATTGCTACAAAAACGAAATTCAATTAAAATATTAAAAAGGAAAATACTATTAAAAATCGAATAAAAAGGAAATCTTTTTTCAAAATTTTAATTAACAAAAATATCAATTGAATTTAAACAAATACAATAATTACATAACCCAAACTTTAACCAAAAATAAATTTAAATTGTTTTTGAATAAAAAACAAATATCATGAAATTCAATCTTTCCATTTTTTCTTTTATTGTGTTGGATTTTCCGGAAGAGCCAAAGGATTTTTGAGAACCTAAAAAGTTTTTTAAATTTAAAAAATCTTAAAACAACCAAAATGACACTGTCGCCGCGAACAAACAATTTCGGAATGAAACGGTCACGAGCCACAGGTTTCGACTTCTTCTTGCCCTTAGCCTTCTTTGGCAGCTCTGTCCACATTTCTTTCACATCTTCGAGAACCATATTGCAATGACTAGAAAAATAAATTTTAGAAAGTTATGGACACATTTTAGTCACTATTCCCCAGAATATTCTCCACAAAAGAAAAATTACCGATCAAAAGCCTTAATTCGCCCAAGCAATTTCTTGTTGTTACGGCAGTTGATCAAAACTTGCGCATGGTTACGAACAGAATGTGTAAGAACTGAGAGCGGTCCAATGTTAAATTCTTCTTGCTCTTTAGCAGCCAATTCTTCCTTTAAAGAGGGAATTTATAAACAAAAAATTTAAATTTAACCTGGCTCATTTCACTACGCGGCTTGACAGTTGACATTTTTTAAATAAAAATTTTAGATTTTTATAACGATTCAAAAAACTGCAAAGTAAAAACTGGTTTAAACTAATTCTTAAAAATATTAAAAGCACACAAGCTTTCTTTCCCCAAAAAACCTAAAATCCAAGAAAAAGTGTTCGAAGACAAAAAGTCCCTTAAATACTCTCTTTTCCATTTTTGACATTTTGAAATAAAACAATGCAAAATCTTTCATAATACCTAAAAGTCATTTGGTCTACACAACATAAAAGGTCAATTTGGTCGAACAGCCATTTTCTGTTAGAGTTGATCGGAAATTTACCTTTAAAATTTTTTTTGTTTCAAAATTTATAAATTAATTAAAAAAAACTTTTATTGATGACCTTCTCCGATTTAGATTTACTTAAAAATTTTATTTTTCAATGCTCGAAAAGTCAACATTTCAAGGCGTTCCAAAATTAGCAGGGACTAATGAATGGACAACTTCGAGATATTCAATTCGTGAACTTCTTTCTGGTAGAAGCTTTGCTCATTTTGTTTTGTGTTTTTATGTAAGTTTTGTTTATGAAAGATATTTTTTATCACATTTTACTGGAAATTTGTAAATTAGAAAAGAGCAGTTATTGGGGAATATCTAGATTTCTGACCATTTTGGACCTTTTTCTGAAGTTGGTCCCATTTTTTCCTCCCCAAGTTTCTTCCTATATATTTGCAGAATGGTCAGACTTTCTTCAATTCTGCTTACTTCCATCCAAGAGAGGATTAATTCTTTTTGATTGTTTGTAGGCAAAATATAGAAGAGCAATTGTGATTAAAGAAAGGAAAAAGTCTGACCATTCTATTGATATATAGAAAGTTGGTGAGGAAGAAATGGGGCTGTCAGGTTCATTATTACCCTGAATTTTGTTGATCTTTAACAAAAAACTGACTGGGGGCTGTGGGACAAGTAAATGCCCAATTAAACTTCACTTCTCTTTTTAAAATTTTATTATTTTTTTAGAACAACTCAGAAAAACTTCCAGATATTGGATTGACAACATTTCCAGTCAAAGAACTTTTTTGGGAATTAGCTAAAGAAAACACTTCTCCAGAAGATTGTGAATTTATTTTAAAACATAAATGGAATGATAAAGATTTTAAATATTGGAATGAACTTGTGCCTGGTTGTGCTTTTCCAATTGACTTTTTTATTTTAATTAGTAAAGAAGAACCAAATAAAGTTAAGGTTTTGTTTTTAAATTTTTAATTAATAAATTTTTTTAAAAAAAGATAATGTTTGGACACAATGGCATTAAATCGAGTATTTACAAGTTTACAATGTGCCCAATTTTACAAGATGCCTATCTTTTTTTCTTTACGCCATTTGATAAATTTGTTAGTTTTTTTAATTTTTAAAGTTGCAAATCTTTTGCGGACAAGATTTTTTGCGGATCGATTTTGTGAACATTTTCAAAAGATTCGGGAATTTGGGAGCTTATGAAAGCTCTGGGTACACCCCAATGTACCGCAGAGCTATAACTTCGTTCATAGTGGTCGAATCCGGGACGCCCTAGTTTTGTTCGATTCAGCTCGTCAAGACGCATCGAATCATCCCGGATTCGCCCACTTTGAACGAAGTTATAGCTCTGGTACACTGGGCTCGCGATACATTGGTCTGCTCACGAAATCTTTTCTCAAAATTTTTTTATTTCATTTCCTCGTGTAGGACGACCTAAAATTAATCATTTTTGATTGATTTGGTTCTCAGAATTAATTTCATAAAATTTGAACAATTTTAAACGAAAATCAAAAATTGTCCGCAAAAAATTTGAATGCTTTTCCTACTAAATTTTTTTTCATTTTTTACAGCCAAGTAAAGAAAATACAAAAAATCAAATCTCATTTCTCAATCCAGAAGATTATTTGTTCGAATATTCCAATCGAATTAAAGAAGGTATTCTTTCAAAAAAGACAAATTGGGAATTTTCATTGTGTGTTGGTTGTTGTAACAATACTGCTGATATTGTTATTATACCTTGTGGGCATACTGTTTTTTGTTCTCGTTGCGAGACTAAATGGAAGGATAAATGCCCTTATTGCAAAAGTGAATTGGGACGTAAGTTTTTTTAATAAATTTGTTTTGATGGGTTAAGTTTTGGGGAAGGTGTTCTTTCCTCCTAGAAATATTTTCTTGGATTTTGTAAATAATTTCTGCGATTTTCAAAATCCTTTTTACCCAGAAACCAAACATTTCTTTCTGCAAAAATTTTACAATTTAAGAAGAGTTTGGTATATACTTTGGTATCTATAGGTAAAATCAACCCGAATTAAAATTAAGAATGGACTGGGAATGTCGGAGTGTCCTCCAAGACTTGTACACGATATCGAGAAAAAATATCGATCTTGATAACCGAAATTTTTGTTTGAGATCACGTCTCGGTCTGGTCCCCAAATTAAAGTATTCCTTCGGCTTCCTATTCCACTTGAAGGAACAAACACTAATTTTCATTTAATTCTAGGCTTTCTAAATTATTTGAATTTTAAAAAAATTTCCCCCTTTTTTCCAGTTGATTTGAAATTCTCTCGTTGTAAAAGCCGTCTTCCATCAAAACAATGTTTGGTTTGTCCAAAATATTTTGACTGTCACAAAATGGATTGTATGTTATTTCCTTGTGGTTGCATTATTGGATGTTGTTTATATGCTGAAAAAGCTATTGTGCCGAGTGAAGGAGGTAAATGTCCAAATTGTAATGAAGAAGTTAGTTCTTTACAAAAAGTTTTTATTCAACAAGATGCTTGTTCTTAAGAGGGAAAAATTTGTTTTGTTGTTAAGTTTGACATTGACATATTTTTGAGAATTTTATAATTTTTTATTCAACAAATAATTATGGGAAATAAATTATATTCTATTTATTTTTTCTAATCTTCTTGGTCTTCACTTTCCTCGCTTTCACTTGAATCTGACGGTTCAACATTTTTTACTACATCCTATAAAATTAAAAAAATATTTTTCGAACTTTAAGAATATAGAAAAACTGGAAAAGAAAATTTTTGGGTTGTCAAAGATTTTTGGAGGGCCAGAAAAAAAGGAAAGGAATTTTTTTAATCCCCGAAATATCCCTTTTTTGCAATTTTTTCGTCTCGAAACTAGACCTGATACCAACGTCTCGTCAAAATATTTCCTTTAAGTAACCCCATGGTAACCTATCCAAATTCATTTAAAAGGTTTTACTTAAAAAATGTGAGATTCCCTAGGTTAATCCTATTCCAACTACAAAACTTTAAAAAATAATTAAAAACCTTTTTCGAATTCATTGCCAATAGTTTTTCCACATTTTCTCTAAATTTTGTTTTTGCTTCTTCAACACTCGTCTTTCCCCTTCCTAATAACCAATTACTCATTTTAATTAATAAATCAGCTGTCGAGTCAAGTGTATTATCTTCAGAAATTGTATCAAATTCATTGTAAAGTATTTCTTCAATCCATTCAGATAATTCGTATGTGTATAAATCAGAATGTTTAAAAATGTGTTCTGAAAGGACATCAGAGAACCAATTATCCTTTGAAAAATAAGAAAATTAAGTGAGTTTCATCAAAATTAAAGACAATAGAGTTAGCTTTTTAATAACAAAATAATTCAACCCCAGTTACTCCTAATCTCTCCAAAATCTATCTTTCTCTTTAATTCCTCAAGATTAAACTCGTAAAAAGAAATAAAAAGAAAAAATTGTGTTGAATCTGGTGAAGGTCTCCAGAATACATCAGAGAACCATCATTTTCGAGGTTCTTTTTCTTCAAATTGGTTCTCTGATGCCGTTTGTGAACCTCCAAGTTGATTTTTTATTCAGAGTTGTGAAGAAAAAGAACCTCAAAATAGAACCAAAAAACAAAACCCCCAAAAGTAGGTCCACTCCCCAATTCGGGCAAAGCTTATTTACGAAGCCATTCAATGCCTTATTATTATTTAAATTATTTAAAACCTTTATTGCCGTTTGTGAACCTCCAAGTTGATTTTTTATTGCAAATTGATAGCATGGCCACGAATTTAAAATAAGACGAACAATTTTCTTTACTCCATCCAAAGATTTATCAGAAAAATATTGATTTAATAAATCTGTTCCATTTGTTAAATTAATAACACTCATCAAAATTAAAAGAAATATAAAGAATTAAAAAATTAATTAAATAATATTTCTTACATAGTTAATTTTAACTATTTACAAATAAACAGAAAAATATTTTAATAAAATAATTTATTAAAAACAAAATTTGGAGATCTTTTTCTAGTTAAAAAACATAAACAAAAACCTTTTCTAAATCTCATTATCTCCTTCCTATATTAATTCCAAAAAATTGTTTACAAAGTATTTCAGCTATTCTTTCATTTCTTCTTAACCTTTCTCTGTCCAAAACTTCCTGAGAATTGTTTACATTAATTGCTCTACTTGGTTGGCACTAAAAGAAAATTTAAAAAAAATTTTTTTTTTAAATAAAAAAATATACCAAAGCTTGTGTATAAAGTGGCAATTCTAATGGTGGTTGTTCATAAATTACTGAAAATTTAAAAAGAAAATTTTAAAAAAAATTATTCAAAAAATACCAGCCATCCTTTCCATTAAATGAATATCAGCAATTAAAGGAAAATATGCTGGACCAGAATCTATTGTTGCTGCAGTATTTTTTAATAAATATTCTACCAAATTTAAATGAGGTTTAATATCTGTGTGCATTTGTCCAACAATTGCTGCTAAAGTTGGCATTCGAAGAAAATAAAGTGAAACTGACAATTTTGAATAAATCTTAAAAGAAAGTTTTTGTCATTTAATTTAGGAGGGAAATTTTTTTCCCTCCTTTTTATTTTAGGAGGGAAAAGATGACACTTTGAAGCTTATAACTTTCCGATTTGAGAGGGGGGGGGGGGGGTAGGAAAAAGCCGAAAAAGAAAAAAATTTACAATAGGAAATCGACCCTGCTTTACACAATGGTGTATGTTTTATCGCAAAATTTTTGGTGGTAGTTCGGTATGCTTCCTTGTGAGAAACAATTTTTTAAGTTTAATAAACAGTCAGACTTGTTATAAAATATTCGAGATTAGATATTCTCAATTTAGGATATGATTTTAAAAAATTGAATTCGGTTAGCTACTAGTTGGAGAGCTGCCTGAGCGTTATTTAATTTTTTATACTTCTTCAACACTCCGTGTATCCAATAACGAGGTCAGAACGTGTGTTATATAAATAATTAGTAAAAATAACCAAATCAATATCCATCTTCTTTTTTAGTTGCTTCGTTGTTGTGCTAGTAGCTCCAACTTCCTGTGAAGATATTTGATGATTGAGTCCACGATCCAACGCTATAATTGTCTCCAAATAAAGCAAAGTTGCCTCCTCATATCTTTCACGAGCTTTAAATAAAATTTATAAGATTATTTTAAAAAATTTAGAAAAAAACCAAATGCATAATCAGCTCGAAAACACAGCCAAGGCAAATAAACTGGTCCAACGAGAGATGCTTGTTCAGCTAATAAATCTAGTACTTTTTCGACATAATCAACATCAATGTCATATGATCTAAAATTTTAAATTTTGTTTCTAAAATTTAATTCTAAAAAAATTAAACTTGTATGTTTCCAATGTACTTATTGACTGCCACAATTCAACATTATCTAAATATACATTCCGTCCAACAGCACGTAACAATGTTGTTTCTGTATGTTGTTGTTGACTTGTTGATTCATCAGTTGTCCCTGTAGCATTATCTACAGCATCAGACTCTCCCGTTGAATTAATGCTACTTTTTAATGGTTTTTGATATGTAGTTAAAACAAAATTGTAGAGAAAACTGACAAATCCTATAAAAATATTGAGGACTTCCAAATCCTAAAAAGAGGATAAAATTACATAAATTTTGACGAAAAAAATAGTTTTAAACCTTTAATCCCTCAATCAAGCTAATTAATGCTTCCTTTCCAATCATACACTGCCTTGGTTCTTGCCTAAAATTTAAAACTTTTTAGTTAAAAATAATTTCAAAAAAGTATTCGACATTCGTCTCGAAGGACGTTAAATTCTATACATCAACATCTTTCGATAAAAGAATGAAAGTGAAGAATAGAAAAAAGATAAAGAAGTTATCCAATAACCTCTAATATTTCCACTAACCTAATCATGCCAAAGTGTTGGGTATCGGCTTAGTATAAAAGCCTTCCTATTATTCAGTCGAGGTCTTAGTCTTATTGTCGCAGTGTTATTCTTATTCTATTCTGTCTCCACCTATTCGGCGCTTAGCCATATTCCTATTGTTCGTTCTTATTGTAATTAGTATTGTAGATAAAGCACAGTTGTTAGTTACTGTCTTATCTTGTGTTTATTCTTGTTAGTACGTAGACATACAAGTCACGTACATAACACAAAGAATTCCATCCTTGGCATGGGAAATGACGGGGATGACTCATATGCGGGGACGGGATGACTCATATGCAAGTAAAAATTTCATGTACCCTCTGTCACCCAAGAATTTTAATCTTAAAAATTTCTTACCCAAATTTAACTGCATCAAAAGTTGGAGTTAAAACTTTCCAAATAACTTCTCTAGCTGTTTTAAATGCTTCATCTCGTTTCTTTTCCACGTACAATTTAGTGAAGAAAAATGAGAAAATAACAGCAATATTTGTAAAAGGAGTAGTTAAAAGTGGTTGATTTTTGATACGCTGACTAGTAAAAGACCATTCTCGATTGTTCAGTAAATAACATGTTAACTGGAAAAAAATTTTTAATAAAAAGGTGGTAAGTTCAGTTTATTTGGGGAGAGAACGGAAAGACCATTTATTTGGAATAATTTTATAATCCAAATCTTCCTAACTTGTCCAAATTGAAAATTTGAATGGAACGGTTAAGCTGTTGTGTAACAAAAAATATCAAACGAAAAAGAATTTTCGGACAAATTTTTTAAAATAAATTCTTGTCACAAACAACATTTTCGATATTTTTAGAATAGAAATAATTAAAAAATAACCTCTTTACTAAAAATCTGAAAAGTACTCTTGTTGTCTTGTATTGCTCTAGTCAAAACACCATTTAACTGTTGTTTCAATTCCGCTGCATTTTTAACAAATTCATGGGGAAAACTTGGACGACAAAAATCTGTATTCCAATTTGTTAACTTAAAAAAATTTTTAAAAAACAAAAAAAACTTTAAATAACCCCAATCCTCATTGAATCACACAAAAGAAGCATTTGCAATTCTTTATTTTCTTCTATAACTTTACAATCTTCACTAAATTTATTTACAAATTCTGTCCATTTTTTCATATTCTAAAATAATTTTTAAAAATTTTTAAATTTAAAATAACCCCTTGAAGAGCAAGTTGTTCCAATTTCCATAGCATTATTTGACTTCGAATAAAGAAACGATCGCCAGAAGCATTTATAGCATTTAAAATTGGATCAGCAGAAACTGGAGAGAAGACCATCTAAAATTTTGAATGTAGGGGGTTTTTCAATTTAAATAAAAATTAAACTATAGAAAATAAAGACAATGAAGACAATCGAAAAAAGATTTAAAAATTCCCCTTGTTCCCTTCATCATATAGAATTTAATTAAAAACTAGTAAAAATACCCTTTTATTTTCAATACGAATTGAAGGATCTAGTTGTGCAAACGAGTTACGAAGAACATTAATATCAAAAGAGGTAACAACATTCCAAAGAGCATTTTCAGATTTTGTAAATTCTAAAAGAATTCTTTTTCATTCAAAATTTTTAATTTGAAAAAAAAACCTTGCAATTGCAAATCAGAGGGAACTGTTGGTGTCATGTCAATAGTAGAAGATTGAGCCAAATTTCTTTAAGAAAATTTAAAATAAATAAAATAAATATAAACCTAATTTTTTGATCTTCAGATAATTTTCCATGATTAACAAGAGTATCAGCAAAACCAAAACAATGAGAACAAAGAAAATAAAGGGAGCCAAGTAATCTGGCGCGTTGAATAAATTTAATTTTGAAATTTAAACCGTTTAAAGAAGAAAGATGAGATTGAAAACTCTAAAAATGAAGAAAAGTTCTAAAAAATAAAAAGAATTTACTGTAATTAATTCTAAACGCAATTCTTCAGATTGACGAAGTTCTTTGTCGAGATAAATCTTTGAAACTCGACAAATTCCCATAGAAAGTAATTCAACCAAAATATTAACAGGAATTTTATGTTTGGGTCTAACGAGAGCAAATTGCATAAATAAATTAATGTCACCAGATTGGCAAAGTGAAGAATTCTAAAAATGAGTAAAATTTGGAAGAATATACAAATAAAATCAGAAATAATTTTTTTGATAAAAATTTTCGTAAATAAAAGAAATTTCAAATTTTAATGTTTTTCTGATTGTAGGAATAAACAGAGAAAAAAATAAAAACTCCTTACTTCTTTAGGAATATCAAATCCCAGAGCACAGGCAAATCCATTAATATCTTGCTCACTTGGTAAAAAGTATTTATTTTCCACATCAATGGATTCACGGTTGTTTTTAAGTCTTTGCCAAGTTTTTCTTACCTTAAATAAAATTTTAAACTTGATAAAATTCAAAAAATAAACAAACAAATTCAAAAAGTGTTTTTGATTTGGAAAAATGTTTTGCACAAAAATGCGCATTTAAAAGATCATAAGAAGTTCTCAATTGAAAAATGTCAAGTTTAAAGAGCCAAAAGTGTTTCTGAATGTCAGGTTTTGAAAAATCGCCGATATTTTGAAGATTAGAACCCTCAAAAATTATTTATTAAAATCTTCATAAATAAAAAACCTCCGTAATAACCTCCAAATTAGGATAAAAACATTCTTTTTTAGGTACATAAATTCCACTATATAAATTCCACATCTGGTCCAAAAGTTTTATGGCCTCCGGGATTTTCTTTTGAACTTCGAGGATTGTTTGTGCCAACTTCTCTGCTTGAAGGAGACTCTGATCAAGATAATTATAACTAAAATTGATAAAAAATTTAAATCAATCACAAAAAACTGACGGATTGCTGACTGTTGGTTTTGCAGGAATTGAAGGAAAGCGAGCCTCTGAATCAACCAAAAGAATCCAACGAGCATAAAGCCAAACAGAGAAAATTCTTTTTGTGTCGAATTTTTCAGAGGAAGTTACACTACAAAAATAATCGAATGGATCCTGAACAATTTCCTATAAAAAAGTTTTAAATTTTACAGGAAAGTGAAATTTAAACAAACTTCTTGCAATAAAGTCCATTTAACCAGCTGATCCAACAATGATTGAATTTTCTGGACATTTAGGCTAAAGAGAAAATTGAAAATCTAAAAATTAAAAAAAATACTTTTTCATCAGCAAACCCAAGTCCCAATTACAACAAGCAAAGCAACTCATAGCACAAAGCCATAAATCGTTGGCTTTATATCTCAAGCAGATTTTATCTTCTGAAAAAGTTGAATTTGATAAAAAAAATAAATTGTTGAGTTAACCTTGGTCCAAATAAATTTTCCCAACTTGAGCCAATTCCTTTTCTGTTACCAATGCTTGTTCAACAAATTGATCGCATAAAGTAATAGCAAAATTGAAGTCTTAAAATTAAAGAACTCAGTTATAGAAATAAAAATTTACCTGAAGTTTGATTTAATAAATCCCTCAGTTCTTGTCTATTTAAGAAATAATCAAGCCAATTCTTTAAAGGTTGAAATTTGAGAAAATTTAATTGAATATCCATATCTAATAAATTTTATTATTTATCATAAGAAGAAAAAAAGATAATTTAAAAAAAGTTGAAACTTTTAGAAATTACAAAAAAATTAATTAAAATATTTATTTAACAAATTTCACATTATTTTTAATAAACATTTTTAATTATATTATAATTTAAAAATAGTGAATGAAAGGAAATAAAAAAAAAGTTTCGTTTGAAGATCCCAGGAACCGAAAAGAAAATTTAAAAAATCCCCAATAAATATTTAACTAAACAAAAATTGATAAGGATATCCATGATATTTGCTGCGAAAAACTGACAACAACAAACTGAAGAACACAACAACCATTCCAAGGCCAATACATGACATAACTGAAAATTTATTGTAAAATTATAAAAAAATTTAAAATTAAAAAGAATTTACATTTCCTCCTTCCTGGATCAGTTTTACTACTAGCAGCATCATTCAAAACTATAACCCCTGCAGTAATAGCCAAATAAAGTCCAAAAACAATGTAGGTTTCAGCAATAAGTTGGTATTGAGTGCTTCCGTGGATGAAAGAAGTTTCGCGTCCATGAGGATGTGTCATCATAAAAGGGGGGCCTCTTATATGATTCCACATTTGTCCGGACATGAAAGCAAAGACGATTGCCTTAAATAAATTTTAGAATAAAATCTCTAAAGAATTCCTTACAAGACAAACACAAGCCCAAAAAGTTCTATTAAAAAGAAATTCCAAATTATTCCGACGCATATAGAGAAGACCAAGAACAAGCATAACCAAAAGAAGAATAACAACGGGAGCGGCATAGCTTGGAGGACGGAGAATTCGAATCTAAAATTAATGGAATTAGGGAAATAAAATTTATAAAAAAACGTGAATATCAGTTCGATCTTGAACAAATTTGGCCATTGCTTCCGCATCAATACCCATACGTTGAAAGTCCATAGAATCCTTTAAATGAATTATTTACCAAGAAAATATCTAATTTCAGGTTTAAAGATCGAAAAATAGAAAAAAATCTTCCCCATAAAAAGATATGAAAAGGCTTTCGAAATAATGAGTAAAAAATTTTTTAGTTGTGACGGATTTATAATATTATAAATAATTTAATAAAAAAATTCTTTCAACCTGTGGCCGCCTTGCACCTTTTGCAGGGAAATGAAAGACTGCTGGTGCCGTGTTTAAATTTAACTTTAAAAAAATATAGAAATTAAAAATTATATAAAATAAACCAAATTAAAAATTTGTGGTGCATTTTCATAATCAACAACTCCAAAATATAATGCTTTGTTGTTCAAAAAGGTGTAGCGATATGAATTTGCTGTAATAAGGAATTCTTCATAAGCAGGTCTAACAATAAGAATGATAAAAAAAATATTTGAGAAATTAACAAAAAAACAAACTTGCAAATAGGGCAATTCATATTGGGAGAAAAAACAGTAAGCATAACAATCATTGAATAATTACGTGGCGAGGATTGAATATAAGTTTTCCACATTTCCAAATTTAAACTCATAACAGGTCGTTTCATTATAGAATCTTGCAGATTGCGAACTTTTTCCTAAAAATTTTTTTTAGTTTGAAAATAATTTGCTTATTGTTAGACCTAAATGGTGTAAAACAGATAAGCACATTGCTTGTTTGTTGGCCTTGTACTTTTCTTTGGTTATTTTTACGAGAACTACTAGTAGTGTGAAAGTTATTTTTTCGAGAAAACTACTCATAATGAAAAAGTGACCCAAGCCCCGAATTAAGAAAAGTCTCGCCCCAGCAAAGAAATCACGTCAAACATATAAGTAACGTATCCGAAAATTCCCAACCTCCAATGTGATTCCTCGATCAGATACTGCAACTGAACAAAGCACAGCTGCCAATAGAAGCAAATATCGTAACATACTGATGTCTATCCAAAATTAAAAAATTAATTTAATTACAAAATTAATAAAAATAAAGTATTTATGTAAATAACATATCAAAAGTTAAAAAAAAATATTTAAATATCAAAAAATTTATTTTCAAAAAAATAAGAGAAAATAACATAATAATTAAAAAAACATTATTATATTTAACATAAATAGAGGTATTATTTCCTCTAAAAGAGAAAAAAATAGATACAATTTAATTTTCATAATTCAGATTCAAAATTCAATTTTCTATACAAATTATATCGTCGTCATCAAAATCTATACCGTTATTCTCGCTATTAGCTACAACTTCTTCCTCCTCAACAATTTCCTTTTCAGTTACTTCCTCCTTTTCAACAACGTCTTTTTCAACAACGTCTTCCTTTTCAACGTCTTCTTCTTCCTCACTATCCGATAATATTGTAATTTCATCAGATTCCTCATAACACACTTTCCTGGCACAATTTCTCGGTATTGAGAATGGAGCCGCCGCATCTTTCCTAGCGCAATTTTTTCGTATTGAGAAGGGGACAGCGATCTTCCTAGCACATTGAGTGTTTGGGCCTGCAAACTTTCTAGCACATTGCGAGGCTCTTATCCCACTTGAACACTCGCCATTTTCTGTAGTTAGATGATTTTCACCATTTACATATCCATTTTGAGTAGGAAAGCTTAAATTTTTAATTTTAGCTTAAATTTTTAATTGGATACAGCCCAAAGTACCGCAAGCCAATACGTGCTACGAGCTCTATATATCGACGAGCTATTAGCACAGCGGTATATTGAGCTCGCGGTACATTGGCCTGCTCCCAACAAAAATAATATTCACATCTCGAAAACACAACACATTTACTTATCAACAAAATTCAACCCGGGAAATGTCAGTAGTAAAAAAAGAAGTTCAAAAAAATATTACCTAGAATATTGACATTTACTGGATTCACAAGAGCAAATTAAATTTGAATTAATCATTTTTACATTCCACCAATAATGTCCATAATTGAGTGTTATTTCCTCACCAGGACTGAAATTTAAAAATAAAATAAAAAAAAATATTTTACTAAATATCCCTCGCAGCAACAATTATTAGATGAGGCACATTTGTTTCATCGATCTCCGAAACTTGGGTATAACAGTTAGCTGCACAAGAGTGGTTTGCGAAACGTGCCAAATTGCCTTTCTTATGAGCATTAATTATGTATTTTTTGTCTTTCTATAAATTAAAAATTTTTAAAAATAGTTGAGCCTCAGTTGAAGATGAGGGTCTTTTCAAACCCGGCAAATGTCCGCAACATCTATTTCGACCTATTTTCACTTGGAATATAGCAGGGGCGCAGCCAGGGGGCTTCTGGGGCTAAAGCCCCCCCCCCCTCCCGAAATGGCAAAGGAAAAATTTAAGGAGGGGATTAACAAAAAGTGCAAATTTTTCCATATGACCGATCAAATTCCCCATTTTAGCCCATTTGAAATCGACCCCCTGGCTACGTCCTTGAAATATAGAGACGATATACATAAAATGTCTAGAGCTTGAAAATCTGACCATTATGTGCATTTTTGCGAAATACGAAAAAATGTTGCGGACTTTTGTTGGTATAACGAAAATAGTCGGTAGCTGCCCCAAAGCTTTTAAAACTTACATAATCAAATAAATAAATATAATCATCGTCTTCAATTCCATCTTTGTCTTCTGATAAAATCCCACCATATTCAAAAAGAATGCTTCCCTTTTTTATAAAATTAAGAGTTCGTAAACCCCACTTCTTTTGCGGATTGACATAAAAAACTTGAAATAAACAATTTAAAGGCAAATAACGTTTGGAACAATTTGCTTCTGTTTGACTTGAGCATGAACATAGAGAACAACAAAACGCAGTTTTGTCATTACATAGGCATTGATCTCGAATATTAGTGGCACAATCAGTGATTAAACATTTGCAGAAATTCTAAAAGAAATTTAATTAAACGATACCCCCCCCCCGAATATTTTGTCCGAAATCTTCTATATTTTATAATAGTAGCAGTTAGAGAATTTTTTCTTAACAGATGCCGGGACGGGTTCCCGAAGGATAAATCCAAAAAAAATCCCGAAACTAAAAAAATCCAAGATTTCGGGATCGCGGAAAATCACGTCACGCGCCGGTCTCTACCCTTTCCAAGATAAGAGAATAATTAAATTTTAAGAAAATTCAAAGTCATCCGGCTAATTAAAAATCAAAAAACCTCGCGATTAGTAAACGAATCTTTTAGCTCTGGAGACAATTCAACACCCAAAATGTATTCAAAAGGCGGCAGATTTTCATAATTGTACTGCAATAAATAAATAAAATTTATAAATTAAAATAAACCTTATTCACAACAGACAATTTATTCTTTTCCAGCCCATTGCTTAAATCATCCACTTTGTAGATATCTTCTGTCATTATTTAAAACCCCTAAAAATTAATTGAAAAACAACAAAAAATTAAAAATTATTTAAAAATAAAATAGAAAATTTTAAACAAATCAAACACCAATTAAAAGAATAAAAAATCTAATTTATCATACTAAACAAAAAATATATTTATAAGGATATGCATGTAATAAAAAAGCAGAAACAATTTCCCCCAGAAAAAAAACAAATATTTATATATACCACAGGGATGTCACGGGTTGAGAAAAATGTCGGGTCGGGTTTCCAAAATTTTTCTCGGATCGGGTTTCGGGTTGAGCAAAAAGTCGGGTTGGGTTTCGGATCGGGTTTTCAAAATTTTCTTCGGATCGGGTTTCGGGTCGAAAAAAGCCAAAATTTTGAGAATTTTGGAAGGCCAAAAAGCCAAAAATCTTCCCTTCTCAGCGCCGCAGGCGAAAATTTTGAGAATTCTATAAGGTCCGAAGCCAGATTTCTTCCTTTTTCAGCGCCGCAGGCGAAAATTTTCAGAATTTTGGAAGATCATTAAGCTAAAAATCTTCCCTTTTCCTGCGACGCGGGCGAAAATTTTGAGAAAACTCGGGTCGGGTTTCGGGTCGGGTTTTGAAAAATAAAAATTCTCGGGTCGGGTTTCGGGTTTTAGAAAATTTCTCGGATCGGGTTTCGGGTATCGGGTCGAAAAAAAGGCCGGGTTTCGGGTATCGGGTAACCCGTGACATCCCTGATATACCATGAAAAGGCAAATGAAAGAGATGGGAGAGTTATGCAGCAAATATCAGAATTTTAAACCAGTAATTAATTCAAAAAAAATATCGACAAAGAGAATAAAAGTGAAGTAGAAATTAATCGTGTCGGGCTAACTCAAGGAACAGACAAATCAAGAAACAACAAGACAAGGAAACGACAAGACAAGGATAAAATATTCCAGGATTTGGTCGTTCCTTGAATTGGCCATTCCTTGTCTTGTCGTTCCTTGACTTATCTGTTCCTTGAGTTAGCCCCCACCCGAAATTAATTCATATATAATTCTAAAACAGTTAAGACTACAAAACAAAAGGATTCTTTCCGGGATAGAAAACAAAAGGTTTTTTCTTACTAGTTGCGTTTATTATACCGAGTTCTTTGCCAAAGCTCTTTCCATACCTTAAAATAAAAAGAAAATATTTTTTTAAAAAAATAAAAATTTTTTAAAGCCAAATGAAAAGAAAATTAATAAATTAAAAAAATTTCTTTTCACTCGACTTGCATACCAAACCAATAATTCGCTATTCTTGTCAACAGGGCGATAGACACGGTAAAAGACAGAACCACGATATTGGAATGCTAGAAGATTTTGTTCACTTTCGTGCCTTGGCGAATTGATATAACGCTAGAAATTAAATAAATGTAGAAGATTTTAGAACTTGTAAAGATGGGAGGTTCCGAAATTTCGGACTTTTTCATGACCTCTGACTTTTTCATGACCTCTGTTCAAACAGTCAAAAAAATAGAGTGATTTGTTAATATAAAATTTTTAAAAATAACGAGAGCGTCGATCATATTTCCGTTTCTAGATTATGGACCTCTAAAAAATCATTAAAAGCCTTTTTAATTGAATGAAAAAAAATAGAAAAAGTTCGAAAAAAAAGTGCCCGCTAGAATGGGTCCTCCCCCCTTTAAAGGAGGAATTTTAATTTTAAAAATTTACCATCCAATTAGAATATCGAGGATCCTTCGCATCAATATAAAAGGAGGGCTTTCCATTGCCAACACGCAATTCCCAAGAGTATCCATCCTGACTTGCTTTCTTAGGATCTTGAAAAAGAATACCTTCATATGGACCTAAAAATTTGTTTAAATTTTCTTATTGTTTTTTAATTAAAAAAAAATACCAAAAACAATTCCAACAGGAATATCTACTTTAGCAAAAACACCTTAAAATAATTAAAAATTTACAAAAAAAAATTTTTAAAAAAACCTTTGCCAGCATTCGGAATAGGAGAATTGTGTATATACAAAAAGCCTGGCAATGTCAAGGAAGCCCTATCATCTCCTTCTTTGGACGGCGAATTCTGAGCACTTACAGCAGGATCCCGATCCTGGCATTGATAAAGTGGATGTTCGAGGCAGCAAAAGTCTAAAATAAAATTTAGAATTTTTTTTTAAATTTAAAAAATACCAAAATATTGGTCACAAATATCACAATGTACAAATCTATCAGAGCTCTCAATGTCATCAGCAAAAATGGATCCAAAACGAGAAAGTTCTTCCTCAGGCAAGTCTTCCAAAAGAATTAGGCGTGATGACTAAAAAAATTTTTTAAAAATGAAATGATAATTTTGAGATCGAGTCGGGCATCGAATTTTGACACGAAAAAGACTCGATCGGGCCGACCCGATAAAAATGAGGCCCGAAAAATGGCTCGAACGTCGGACCAACTCGATAACGGCAACCCTAGTCAAATATAGTATTATTAATCTGACGTATAAAATATATGGAATGTAAAAGCTCTCCTTTATATTTTTCCATAAAATTAGTAAAAAATTCAGAAAGTCTGACCATTATGGTCCTTTTTGAAAGAAAGAGAAAGAAATTCAAAATTGACGAAATAGAGAAGAAAGCCCAAAAGACAATTAAAAATCCAGTTTATTAAAAAATATATAAAAACCTGCTTCCTCATTTCCTCTCTCGATACAATCCGAACCCTGCGTTCATGAGCATCTACAACGAAAACCATTCCTGGCTTTTCAGTCCTTTCTAGCTTCTCCATCTTAAAAGGAGCTCGTTCATTCTCATTCCTTTGAACACTCCTTTCATTCTCCACCTTTTGAGTACTTCTATCATTCTCAATCTTTTGAACACCGCGTTCATTCCCATTCTTTTGACTATTTTTATCAACTTCCCTGACACCATAAACAACTTCAAAAACCTCATCTGCCGTTAGGGGAACACTTTCCCGTTGAGCACATTCCACACTTGCACAATTTCCATTAGATTTGGGAGTTCCTGTATTTCTAACAATTGCTACAGAATTGGAGACTAGTTGCTGCTTTTTCTGTTCGGGCATATGCCGAAGCCTGCAAAACAAAAAAATATCTTTTTAAATTTAAAATCAATCGTTACCTATGAAGAAAAGATGTTATAGAATTATTGAGGCTACAACCTTCCTCGTTGCTAGAAGGTGATTCTCCAGATTCCAGGGATGATGTGTCGTCTTTCATCATTATTAAATTAGATTTAATTCACTAAAAAGAGTTAAAAACAAGTTTAGAAAAAAAATTAGGGAAATTAATGCAAGAAATACTCAAATGGGAAATTTTATTTTCAAAAAGAAATTTAGTTCAAATGAGAGGTCGGCAAAATCGAATTTCCGGGATCCCGAGTCGGGATTTTTTTTAAATCCTTGCGGGACGTTATCCCGCGGGATAAATCCCGCACTCCCGCAAATCGGAAAAAGTGCGCGACGGGATTTCGCAAAATCCCGCGCGGGGTCCCGTCCCGCGCCGACCTCTAGTTCAAATGAGGAAATACATACAATTTTTCAAAAAAAAACAAATAAATATTTATTTAAGCTTTTTCCTGAATAAGCTATTTTAAATTAATAAAAGGACATTTTTAAAAAAAATTTTATAGAAACAAAAAGTAAATTAAAAAGCTAAAATGCAATTTTTTAAAAGCAATAAGGACATCATTAAAAAAAATATTTTTCAAAAAAAAAATCTAAAATTATTCCTGAATAATTCCAAGATTCGATGGATGTCTTCCTTTTGCTAAAGTATCAAGTCCTACAGCTTTTGAACTTTCAGAAGAGTCTTTACTTTCTTTAAAACTAAACAATTTTCCAAAGAGAAAGTGTTGAACAACGGGGAACTTCTTCAGCACCTAAATTTTGAATTTAATTTTTTATGAACAAAATTTTTTAAGGAAAAAATAGACAAATAAAAACACTATTTTTCTGTATGCATTAATTTACATGTTTAAAAACATTAAACCCCATTTTTCAACCAGATTACCACCAAATTAGTTAATTTTAAGAATTTTTAATAATATTCGTCTTAAGTTAAAGAAGAAGAAATAAGATTTCCTCTCAATGCTCGCGTGGCCTAATGGATAAGGCGTCGGATTCCGGCTATTGGGGGAGGCTCCGAAGGTTGGGGGTTCAAGTCCCCTCGCGGGCTGAGCTTTTTCTTATTATTTTAAACGGTAAAATTTTTTATCTTTTTTATCAAAAAATGTTCTAAAATTTTTTTAAATAATTTTTTAGTCAAAAATTATATCAAAACAAACCTCTCCTTCATACATTTTAAACATTCCCTCATTTATTCTTTCCCAAGTTTGTACAGCACTAATATTATAAAGTTGATTGGAATGTTCATAAAATGGGCCAGTTTTTGTCTAAAAATATTTCCGAAATTATTTTAATTATTTTATTACCTCATTAATATATTGTATAGCCTCAAAAAATAAATTATCATTTTTATATTGCGAAACCATTTCTGGGCGTAAATAATAATCAGGAATTAAACGATATTTATTGTCTAAAAAAAGAAGGAAAAAATTATTTGAAAAATAAAAAAAATTTTTTTGATTTTAAAAATACCAATAAGCTGTGAACTCCCAAAAAGAAAAGGCAAAAATTGAAAATCATCAATTGCATGGACTCCCCGACTTCCAGCCGGCTCCATTCGATAAATACATTGAAGAAATTTTACCAAAGATAAATAACTAAAAAATTAAGAAAAATTTTGAAAAATTTTTTAAAAAAATCAACCGATGAAATACTTTCAAAACAACAGCACAATTATCGTTTGGAGAAACCAAAAAATTAATTTGATATAGACAAAATAGGAAAATTAAAAAAGAGGCTTCGTGACCTGAAATGTGAATGTTGAAATTTTTAAAGAAGGCAAAAGAGGAAATTTTAGGAATTGAACAGAAAAAAATACGCGGGTTTTTAAAAAATTCCCTTCATGGTCATTAATAACAGCATAAAACAATTTTTTTCTTAAAATTGATAAGCGGAAAAATTAGGGCCTGGATCAGGGCCTATATTGACTGGTTGATAAATGTCCTCCTTCCTTCCCAGTGCCAAAAGGCCTCTTTAAAAATCTCAACATTTTTTTAACATAAAGGAAAATGGCGCTATATTTCAGAAAAAATGCAAGAAAAGGATGGAAAAATGCGCATTCGTTTTGCGGACAGGTAGGACACCAGCCGGGCATTTAACTGACTAGTTTTAGACTTTCTTACTTTAATCAGCAAAAACGCTCCCTAGAAAACCTAAACGAAAAGACCCAAAAAATTTTTTTCATTTATTATTAAAAAACCGAATTTTTCCCTTACCCGATCCATAATCAATTCGAGTGGAATTCCCAAACGAATCCATCAAATAAGGAAGCAATTCAATTTTTGCTTCTCCCAATTCTGTCGGCAACAGTTTCAAAAGGGCATTTTCTGCATCCTTTTAATTAAAAAACAAAATTAATTTTCTAAATTATAACCTACATTAGTCAATCTTTCATACCATTTTCGATAAGATTTGTTTCCAAATCGTTGAGTTCCCATATCTTCTGGAGGGTATTCTTCTATCCATTTCTTGAAATATAAAAATTATTAATCGAAAAAAAAATAAATAAAATTTCTCCTAGAGGACCAATAGAGGAAATTAAAGCACCTGACTAGGGAGCAGGGCCGTAACCCGGATTTTTTCGGAAGGAGCTCCCAGGTTACGGCCCTGCTAGGGAGAAACAGAAATATAACATGAAATCAAAATTAGTGACAGGCTCCCGGACCGGAGTAAGAGTCAGAAAAATTATTTAAAAAATATTCCTATCTTCTAATTAATTTTCAAAAATTAAGCAGGATAAATTTCTGTCTCGTGATTTTTTCTTTCTACCCAAGAAAATCTGTCTTAACTACCGGTCACTAATTAAAAACACTAAAAATAAGTAAAAAAGTAACCTGGAATAAGTCAAGCATTTCAATAATTTTTTTAACATTTTCAGAAACAAAAATATCAGAAGAATCAGTCGAAATACCTCTAACAGAATTATTTAATTGTCTAATAAATTTCATATATTTGTAATGTGCCTCAGATTTTAACCAAGTAGAGACATCCCCAATATTAAGAATTGCACGTTCTGGCTTGACAAATTGGGGCTAAAATGAAAATAAAATTTTTTCGAAATTTTGGGAATTTACCTGATTTAAATTTTCTTGTGTATTGGCCATTTTAAATTATCTGAAAAGAAAAAAAATTAAAAAAAAAAAATAAAGGAAAAATAAAATTGAAAATTTTAAGCAAGTCTAAAGAAAAAGACTGAAATGGCGTACAGCCCAAAACGGCGCGAGGCCATAACGGCGCGAAGTCACAACTTGCTGGAAAATGTCTGGACCTTGTCAATTTTGGTACCAAACTCCCTAGCTCGATGTGTGGAATCGTTTGATACTAAATCTTGAACGATTAAGAAATCTTGAAGCAAGTTATGGCTTTGCGCCGTTTTGGACGTGTCCCACTAAAATGACAAAATTGAAATTACCAGTTTTAAATTCAAGGAACAAATCAGAATTGCTTTTTTAACTGTTTAAGCAATTCTTTGTTATTTTGGCACTACTGAAGAAAAGGGTGCTTTTTCTGCGGACTTATTTTGCGGACTTTTCCTTTCCTTTATAAGTTTTACTTGTAGCAACTAACTGTCAAAGGCCTTCCCCCCTATTATTTTTCTTACCTAATATTGTACATAAAGGTCAGATTTTCTTCTTGCTCTCCTTCCTCTATTTGCCCTGGAACAAGAGACATTGATAAAGAGAAGATTATTTTTTTTTGCCTTCGAAAACAATTTAAACAAAATAAAGAATTATATAAAATGATTTGGTGTGTAACATTATGCATTTCTGTTTAAAAACATTACATTCATACTTATACTTAAAAAATCTTGAACAACTGAAAAAATAAATTGAACTCAATATTGAACACTTCAATTAAAAATATTGAACAACTCAATTAATCTTCTCTTTATCAACAATGTCTCTTGTTTGAATATGCCAAGCTCAAATAGAGGAAAAAGAGGAAGAAGGAAATCTGACCATTTTGTACAATCTTAGGTAATAAAAATAATGGGGGGGGGGACAAGGAATTACCCGCATCTCTGTTCCACAATCACATATTCTTTTTCGATGAAGCATTCCAAGATCAGTGATCCATTGTTGAAATTCATCATCGGATAATTGAAAATTAAGTTAAAAAAAATTTTTTATTGATTGTAACATTTTTTACGTTTATAATGTTCAAATTAATCGTGAACACATATTTTTCAAATTGGCATATAAATTAATCCTTTGACAGTTAGTTGCTACAAGCAAAACTTGCTACAAGCAATACAGCCAAAACATTAAAAAAAAAATCATTTAAAAGTAAAAAAAAAGTCCGCAAAATAAGTCCGCAGAAAAAGCACCCTTTTCTTCAGTAGTGCCGTTATTTTTCAATAGCTAAATTCTCCGTTAAAATTTTATTTTTCAAAGAAATTATCTCAAGCTTAAAATTTTTATTTTCAGGAATTTTTCAAAAACATTGTTTAGTCAAATAACAAATACAAAAAAGAAACCTCCACCAAAGCAAAGGTAACTTATTTTACAACAAAAATAATTTTCAAAAAAATATTTTAGAAATGTCATTACTTCAACAAAAATTACAACAAACAATTTCCACCTTTCCCACAAAAATTTTTATTTCCAAAATTAACGTCTCTGGAATTCGTCAATTTTCGGACAACAAAGAAGTGAATGAAGAAAATATTAAAGAAAATGAAGAAAAAAGTGAAGAAAAACCAAAAGAATTTAATGGGCCTAAAGGACCAGAACCTACAAGATATGGGGATTGGGAAAGAAAGGGAAGGGTTTCTGATTTTTAATTAAAATCTTTTAATGTCAGATTTGTTGAAATAAAATTTTATCTAAAATTAAGAGAAATTTGTTTCTTCTAAGAGACAATTTTTTAGTGAAAATTTGAAAAATTTTGGAATGAAAATACATTTTTCTATTTTCTTTTTAATTTCATTTTTATAATCAATCAACTACAAATTAGGCAGGCTTTTCATTAAGCTTAAGTTGAAGTTGCAAATTGTGATGCAGTTCTGGACGAATGTCACAGACAAGTTGAAGTAGACGAACAATTACCTACAAAATTAAAAAATAATTCTCTAACAATAAAGTGAGACCCAAAATCGGTAGAGCCAGGGATATAATTCTTAACAAAAATTGAGCCAATTCTGACTTAAATTCGACATTTGAGGTCCTCTCTTTAAAGTAGTTTTATCCGTGGGAAAGAACTTCACGGGAGAGTGAACCCAATATTTCGTTAGCAGGGGAATTAAAATTCTACTCTCTTGCCCCTCCTTCGAAAAAAATCCTGTTGCGGGCCTAGCCCAAACTTTCAAATCATCTAGGCCTAACGAAAAAAGTATCTCTTTAAAATTACCTGCTGTTTATTAGCCGCAACACTACGAGTCATTTCATTAAGCGTCTCATCAGTTTCACGCTTTATCTGCGCAGCAATATCATCTCTAGCGCCCAGGTAATTATGTTCAAACTCTTTAAAACGCTTTTCGCGTTCCTAAAAATTAACAGAATGAAGGGAATAAATTTAATCTAAACCTCTCTATATTTGTCAATTTCAGCCTGTGCCTCTTGTTTTGCTTGTTTAAGTCGTTGTGCCTTTCTTTTACGTGCCTCATTAATCTTAAAAGACGTTTTCAAAGTAATAAAACACTTAAAAAACCTTTTCAGCAGCACGCTTCTCTGCTGCAAGTAATTGTTGAATTCCTGCAGTTTGCGAGGCCATTTTAACAAGTCTTTTATTCAATTAATTGTCTAAAACAAACGAGAAAACTATCAAATCATCAATTAAAAACAATAAAAATAACAATAGAAAAACCAATATTTAGTGATTTTTGGTTTTACTTTAATGTCTCTAAACTCTCTTCATTCCCACAATCTTCTTTATCTAGCTGTCTGTCATTTTGGTAATGTCAAAAGAAATAATTTTTGAAAGAACAAAAAAGGAAAAAATATAAAAGGGTAAACGACAAAAGGGAACATCAAGGGAAAACGAGAGGTGATTGGTCATTTCGTCAATAATAAGTTCGTCAATGATATATTCGTCAAAGCGAGATATTTGTCTTATCAAAATACCCAAAGCAAAACTTAAAGCAAAGAAAAGTTTATTTTAAAAAATTACAATAGTGAACACAAAAATACACAAATATATTTACATATAAAATACATTATTTATACAAATCAACACACAACTTTATATTTATTTTTATTTATTCTCACTTTTCGTGTTGTCATCGTGCTCACTTTTTGTGTTGTCCTTTTGATTTTCTTCATTTACACTAGTCTCACTTGTCATTGTTACCCTCACAGTGCTTTGGCTATTGTGCACGTTATCCTTTGATGAAGATTTGCTTTGCGATGTTGTTGCCTTTTTATTGTCGCCTTCACTCTTTGCCTGCTTTTCCTTCAAAGAAAAAATAATGAAAAAATTTTTTAGAGGAGGAAATTTTTTTCCCACCTCATCCATCTTTGAGTTAGCCGCGTTCGATGACTTTGACGACAAATTTGATTTACTATCAAGCCTCGATTTGGAGTCTGAGCGAGGGTCTTTCGCCAAACTACCATCTCCCATATCTCCTTTCGTTCTTTTGGATGCATCAAAGATGTTCCCCAATCCCCTCCAGGTCTGGTAGTCTGGATCGTCCAATCGGCGTCGTGTCATTTCCTCGGGCATTTTATAAGCTTGCTCTAAAAAATAAAATTTAATAGACTGGAGAGCGAGGAAAAATTTTTTAGACTCACTTTTAACTTGACGCCACGAATCAGAAACCTCCTCCATTCGTGCAGTGTCGTCATCGGGAACAGCAACACCAGCGCGCACGTCTTTCTTTGACTTATCAGAAGGTTTTGGTTCGGCAGGCTTAGGTGGTGTTGCTGGTTGCTTTGTTGCTGCCGTCTTCTTTGGATCAGCTACAGGTGCTTTAGGAGGTGGTGTGAACAAAGCAGCAGTTCTTATCGCAGCAGCGCCTCCGCCACAGTACTAGTTACCCCCCCCCCCCAATTTGTTGCACAGGTGTGCAACAAATTGGAGGCGGAAGTTGGCAACATCAAAGGGAAATCCAAGGGTGTAGGGGGTTTCCATCCCCCGCCCCCATCAATTTCCCCGCACTCGTGCGGGGAAACCAAAGGGTGTGGGAGGTTTCCACCTCCCACACCAACAATTCCTTCTACTTGTACCTTGTACAAGTAGTGGTGCGGGAAATGCGGCATGACAAAGGGAAACCAAAGGGTGTGGGGGAGATCATCGGCTCCCGCACCGCAAATGGCGGCGGAAACCAAAGGGTGTGGGGGAGATCTTCGGCTCCCGGAGTGGTAAGTGACAGCTTCTGATTGATTGACAGGTACAACTACAAGTGACAGGTACATGAAAAGTGACAGGTTATGATTGATTGACAGGTACATGAAAAGTGACAGGTTTTGATTGATTGACAGGTACATGACAGGTTATGATTGAGACGTGACAAGGTACAAGTACAAGGATTCAGTCTGGGACTGAAATATTTTTGACAGAGAATTGGGGGAGGGGGCAGAAATATGTTGGGGACCGTCTCAATTAAAATTAAAAAATATTAAAAATAAAATTAAAAAATATTAATTAAAAATGAGGGAGAAAATAAAATTATAAAAATTCTGAAAAAAATTAAAATGATTTTGAAAAATGAGCGGAAGTCAGAATGTAAGGGGAATTACCAAATTATTACAAAATCCCAAATTTCATAATGTCAAAACGACAAAATGCCAAATTTTGAAATGTCAATTTTAAAATACTAATTGGCGCGAATTTTGCATTCAGTTAAAAATTCATAATACAGGGAATTTCAGTCTGGGGATTGAAATATTTATGACCGGGAACTACAGCCTGGTACTGAACTATTTATGATGGGGGATTTCAGTCTGGGGCTGAATTATTTTGGGCAGCGCTGTGATAAAAGTTGTGATACCAAATGACCTTGAAATATTACGAAATAAGTGAAACTCGGTTGTTAATATTTATGACCGGGAATATAAATAAAAATGACCGAAATTAATCAATCTTTAAGATGATTAATGACTTTTTGAGGAAAATATGTAAAATATGTCATGACCTTGAAAAAATATTTCGTAATCACCAACCGTCTGAAACGGGGGGTATAAAAGGCGAGGTTTTTTGTCATTCTTAACCATTTGACTCAAAAATTAAAAATCAGCTCTAATATTAAAAATATTAAAAAGAATAAAATGTCATTTAACAACGGACAAACCGCACCTCCTGCCAATAAGCGCGCTAGATTCCTCATCCGCGATATCCTTCCTCATTTATTCAATGACGTGCAAATCGGCGCGGGTGCTAATGACCTAAAAAATTATTACCGACAAATCGATTATGAGACTGACTACAGCAGCAAATTTAAAATGATGAAAACAACTGGAAAATTTATAATAGAAAAAATACCTGAAAACCCAGAGGAATTGCTTCGAAAAATAATACAACAATGCATGGATAAAACAGTTGAAGAAGCAAAAAATAAATCAATAGAACCTGAATGCATGGGGGCATTAATTTCATCACAATTATTAGACAGCGACATATGGATTCCTATAAGAAAAATTGAAAATGATACGATCGACAACATACTTAATCGTTTCCAGCTTGTATCCCAATCAAAGATAGAAAAAGGTTCTCTTATTGGCCAACCTTTCACAATAGCAATTCAAACACTTGGAATCTCCTCTCTTCCGAAAAATAAATCAATTAGAGGCCGCGCACCGCCAGCAACAACAAGTAATTTACAAATAAATAGTTCCTGCCTAATAAAAATCGATAACCCCAACAACTTATGCCTCTTCTATGCACTGGAAATAGCAAGAAAATATTTCACTAAAGAACTGGGTGCGCGTTGGAATTTTACAAGATACATGCAAAATAAAAAAAGGCAAATGGAAGATGTGTTTGATCTTTTGAATTCAGCAAGAATTCCCCAAAACCTCCTTGAATATGATGCTGTAGAATTTGTACCAACTGTTGTAGATTTTTGGAACAACAAATATAATGATTCTGGGTTCAAGTTCAAGGTATTTATATTTGGAAACGACAGCGAAAAGCCAAAATTCACCTATGGAAATGAAAATTTCAACATGCCTATTACAATTTTTCACACAAACAACCATTTTGACGCAATAAGAAATGTTGGAGGAATGTTTGGCGCAGGGGTAAAATATTGTTTTACATGTGAAAAGAAGTTTAGGAAATCGAAGGAACATGATTTGAGATGTAAATCTCTCTGCAGATTTTGTGGGCGTATTGGCAGTGACAAACCTTGTGTTGCAACGGGAGACTTCTTCAAAAAATGTGATGAATGTGGGAAAAAATATTTAAATGAAGATTGCTTCAAACATCACAAAAAAAGCAGCAATTGTCGACAAACAAAACAGTGTGAGAAATGTGGAGTCATCTGGTCAATGAAAAATTACAAGAGAGAGACGGAAAAGAAACATGTTTGTGGGCAAAAGTGGTGTCAAATTTGTCGGCAATTTCACAGCATGGATAGAGGGTGCTATATTCGTCCATTGGAACTGAAAAAACCATCACATTATCGCCTAATAACCTTCGATTTTGAAGCAACACAAAATGAAAAGATAAACGAAATTACAAAAGAAGAAATGCGACTTCACAAAGTGAATTTCATTGCTGCAACAGTGACTTGCACAAAATGTATGGAAGATGACCAACTATGGCGTGCACCTCTAAAACAAAATGGAAAAAGTTGCATAATCTGCGGAAATAATAGATCAATCACATTTTCCCACCGACCATTTATACAAACAACAGTTGATCAGCAAATCGTCACAGCAAACCCTCTAAAAGAATTTATTGATTGGATTCTATTTAAACTCAATCCCCAATATACAACTATGGCTTTTTCACACAATGGAGGGCGCTATGATATGATTATGGTATTCAAAGAAATTTATTCAAAAGGGGTTGTTCCATCAATGATCCGTCGCGGTAATAAACTTTACGAACTGAAAATTCCCCGCAACAATAAATGCAATGAAGTTATATTCCGAGACTCGTTTAATCTCTGCCCAGTTGCCTTGGGGAAGCTGGTTGGCGCGTTTGGACTTCAAATTACAGAAAAACAATTTTTCCCCCATTTGGCAAATATCCCCGAAAATTACAATAAAATATTACCGCAACTGCCTTCAAAATCTGATTACCTTTATGGAGGAATGTCACCTGAAAAACAAAATGAATTTGACAAATGGTATGTAGAAGAAAAAAATAAACAATTTTGCTTGGATGAAGCCTTAGCAGAATATTGCACAAACGATGTCCAAATACTCACAGAAGCACTGATTGCATTCAGGAAAAAATTCACAGAGATTAGCAAACCAAAAAATGGCAAGTCTGGGCCAGCAGTAGAAGGAATTGATATTTTGAAAGATGCAATGACAATAGCATCGGCCTGCATGAAACATTTTCGTCTCAACCATTTGCAACCTGACCATTTGGCAATTGTTCCAGAAAAAGGGTATGAAAATATCGATAATCAAAGTGAGCTTGCCCTGAAATATTTACAATGGTACGAAGAAACTAAAGGAGTGGAAATTCAAAGTGCACATTCGGAAGGTGGAGAATTTGTAGTGGCTGGAAAATATAAAGTTGATGGCTACATAGAGGCAGAAGATAGGGCAATTGAAGTGAATGGTTGTGTCTGGCATGCTTGCCAAAAATGCTTTGGAGATGATTTGTACAAAATA